TGTCAACTTCCAATTATAAGATGTGTCCCTCTCCCCCCGCCGCCATGTATACCTTGGAGTCTACAGTGGAACAGAGGAATCTTTTCAGGTTCTGAGAGAAACCTGGACCTCCCACCTCACCCCACCCCTTACAGGACACAAAAGATTTGGACCATTTGGAGGTCACTGTGGAGTTGCTCCTAGGGACTTTAACTGGGTACTATCATCTTTATCGTTAACATTTCTAGAAGCATCCCCTACTCCACAGACACTATTCTACAGCTTGACATGTATTATTTCATCTAATAACCAGGAACAAAGAGAGACTAAATGCAAAGTCGCATGCCCTGCCCCTTGCTAGGGAGCTCCAGAAGGAACAACAGTCCAAGGGCCGGGCTTGGACACAACTCTGGAGCAGCTGTTGGCTCTCAGGGATGGATCAGACCTCTCTGTGGAAGGTCCCATCCCTGTACACTTTCAGGAATTCCAAATCCTGGGAGGGGGGCTGGGCCCACCAAGGGCTAGGTATTTTCCCCAGGCCTCACTTTATGAGATCAGCAACCCTCCAGGCACCAACAAACGTTCCTCAAAGGACCCTTCTCCATCCCTGTGGCTGGAGGCCAGTGTCTACAAGTACAGCCACAGACCTACAGACCCGCCATAAACAGTGAGATTAACTGTGAAGTTGTCTTCATTTGGATAGGGTGGGAGCCTACAGTTCCTTGGTAGTGAAGATTGGGCATGGAGGTAAGAGAGGGAAAAGGAAAGCTCAAGGCTAGAATTAATCCATTGCTATCTGGAGATAACTCTCTAGTTTGTAGATTATGTTCTATAGTATTTTACAGTTTACAAAATGCACTAAGTATATTGAGCTCTTTTAATCCTCACAACATCCTTATGAGGGAAGTTTATTAGCTTCATTTTGTAGCTAAGGTTTGGTAACTCATTAAGTTACACACTTTGATGCAGGGCTCAAACCCAGTTCTTCTGGCTCTGGGATCATTTTTAGCCACCTTATACATGGACAGATTGAAGCTTATTGGAAGAAAGAATGAATGAATGACTTTCTCCCCAGTGAGATACTACGGAGGATATAAAGATGAATAGTTTTTAGTTTTAGGGAAACTGAAAGTAACTTTTCCTCCTCTTCTTTCTCCTCACACCCACCCCCATGAAGACAATCATCAAACAATCGAGTTTGGTTAACACCTATTGTTGCTTTTATAAGAATAGATGCATTATCTTTCAAACAGTATCAGCAATACTTGAGATCCAACAAAATAATGGGGTCTCCCAGAGAGCATTTCTAAGGCCCAAAGTGTGGCTCCTTTTACAAAACATTCTGTGGAAGCTCTAACTTTTAATTCATACCACCAAGGAGATATTTGATTGTTTCCTGGAAATGCCAACAATGAGAGGCTCATAAATACTAATGAAACAGTATAGATTAGCCGAGCTCAGCAAGTAACCTGGGGGGCCTAGAAGAGTATTCTTAGATTAAAAAATATAAAGAATACCTTTTTAATTGAATTTTCCCCAGACTAGGCTCCCAGATGTTAATGAATACTCTCTTTGGCTATACGGAGAGTAGACTCAAATAAGTACCTTCAGGAATCCGAAAGTGAATTATCAAATTAGCTTTAACTGAAAAAGAAATCTATTTATTCAAAGGCTATTTTAGGTGTCATGGGACGGATGAGTTTGAGACAAAGGTTGGGAGGGGGAGGAGGGCATGGGACATTGAGATAAACATAATTCAAACGCATGCTTCTATTCCAGCCAACTAAGCAACCTAAGTTGAAATTTGCTTTTTATATTTGTCCTTTCTGACATGATCCCTCAATAATAATAACTCCCTTGGAATATACAAGGCCCCATGTTATCAGAAACCATATCTTTATTCTTCATCACTGAATCCTAATACCTAACACAGTGTGTGCCACATATTAGGTGCCCAATAAATGTTTGCTAACTGGATGAAGAGCTGTCTTAAAACATTTTTCAGTGCGTTCAGGCCCTTATCTTTTCCCGAAGGGCATCCTCCTATTATAAAGCCCCCAAATAAACACACACCCTGTAGAAGTCCTCTCTACCTTGGCCACAATCTACAGTCCTCTCTTCTCCCACCCTGAGCTCCAGGGTCACCAGAAGGCACCCTGTTCTCCTGCCATATTCTAGAAGTTTCTCTGCCTAGAATCTCTGAACATCCTTTTACCCTGGTCTCCCTGTCAAGGTCCTGCTCATCTTTCAAGGTCCTCCTCAGATGGACTTCATGAAAAGTGCCCTAATATTCTCCTAGGGCTCAAAGCCCTTCCTCTCTCTCCCTGGATGAACTCCAGAGTGGGCCTCTGATGCCTTTATGCTCCCTGCAGGGACCAGCATGACATCTGCCACAGAACAGTTTGTCAACAAATGTGGTGGTGGTGCCTAATTTGAGTCCTAGAAATGCAATATGAGCATTTGGTCCCAAGAAATATATGTGTGGATCAAATTAGTGAAAAGCCCCCAAAGTCTTCTCTCAAAAGAGCAGGAGAATCCCTCCAGATAGGCCAAAAAAATAAGGGGCCAAATGAAGAATGAGTAGTAGCAAAGGTGAAGGGAAAGTAAGGAGGGAAATCCAGGGAGACAAGTGTGTGAAAAGGAGCAAGGCAGTGGCTTGGCCTTGATGGAGGCGGGGGGTGGGAGGGTGGGGAGGGGTGAGGGATAGGGGATACCCAAGGGTGTTTTTTTCTCCACAAAGAGCCTGTGGGCTTAATGGTATGTGAGCAGATCCATGGCATATGATCCCATTGCTTCTGAGGGTCTCACACAAAGCCTCTGGCAAAGGGGTGTGACTTCTCAGCACGTTTTTCTTTGTTGGGAGTTGAGTTTACATTCAGGCAGTCATATGCTTTCTATAAACCTCCACTTGAGCAGAACTAGGTTTTTGGTGTATGTATCTTCATGCATTTGTGAAGTCTCTAACAATGGGAAATAAATCACTGTGAAGTCTTCTTCCACAACAGACTGGGATAGATGTTTTTAAGTCAATCTGGGGAATAGCCATGTATTGTATGATTCTATAAACCCCAGGCTACTTACCAAAATGGGTTAATTCTACACAAAGGAATAGGAGGCTCAGAGAAACACCTGTAAAGGGCTCACCCCTCGGGGTCGGGAGCCAAATGCCCCAGAATCAGTCAGGTCAGTTCTGCCACTCACTCACTGTGTGACCTGTGCCTCTGTCTCTTCAGCTGTAAGATGAGGAAAACGCCTGTACCCACTTCGTAAGGTTGTAATGACACAAAATGAGGCAATGGGTGTATAGCGCCCAGGATGGTGACTGGCATACCAGTGCCATTAGACAGCATTACTTCACTTTCATGGACCAAATGGCACGGCAGTAGGTACCAGTTTATACAATTGCATCAGTTGTATAGATAATGTCCTAAGGACATGAGCCCAAATGCCAGCAGGCTAGGGCTGAGTTCAGGTAGAGTTTGGATGGACAGACAGGTCTGTGGGATACTCACAGAGTGTTATCTGAGGAATTAGGCTTCCGAGGACAACCCCTGAGCATAACACATTCCCCAGGAGGGGCCACACCTTTATGTTCCAGTGAAGTACAACAAAGTGAAACCTGGACTTCGTAATGATTGTGAACCCAGGTCCCCCAGTGTACCATCTTGTTTCTCCCTTTAATAATATACTTCGTGTGAAAGTGGTTAGAAAAGTATCAAGTAAAACACAAATATAAAGTAACGTCATCATTCTTGTCTTTCTGATCATCCTTGTCTTTCCGACAGCCTTGGAAGAGCAATTGACCCATCATTGGGAGAGCAAAGACCCAATTCTGGGTCTTTGTGGCATCTCTGTGTGGCCTTAAACATGTCCCTTCCCCACTCTGGGTCTCAGAGTCTTAATCTTTAAGTGAGAGCATTGATTGGAATGGTTCCTAAGTTCTCCAGCTGAAAATCAATGAGTCTTTGATCTTTGGGTTCCAGGCAATGTCTTATACCAGAAGGTCTCTTGAACTTCCTTGAATCATGTTACCCTCTAGGTCTTGTTTAGACATAGGAACCTGTACATTCCAGAAAGGGCCTGTCAGACCTTACACTTAAGCGCTGAGGCCTAAGATATATGTGGAGAGGTGGAGGGGGTACCAGTGGAAGAAGGGCCACTCTGTATAAGCGACCAGAGCAGTCCTGGCAGTAAGTTGAGCTGAGGATGGGAGTAGGGACCCCATCCTACTTTCTAAACACCATTGCTGAGCAGCCTGTGAGCCTCCTTTCCCGCTGCCAAGAACAGGAACAGGCAGGAGGAAACTGGGGAATATTTGGCAGAGGGACAGAAAGCATAGATGAGAGTGATGGAGGAGACAAGGATAGAAATAGAGGGAACCAGCAAATGGTTCCCCATGCAAAGCTCAGTGAGTCCTCTTTGGACACAGGAGCAGGATGTAAAGAGGGAGGAGTTGGAGCTGGGAAGAGAGCATGAAGGTCAGGGGTAAGGCAGGACAAGGGCCGCTGACCTCGTAGCCTGGGGAAGGTCCAGCCTCCCTGTGACAGGCAGCAAGACTTAGCTATTCCATCTTGTGCTTAAGCTTTAATATGTGTTGAAAATGGCACATCGTGTTCATAGAAAGTCAGACACAGCTGTCCTGTGAGGAGTATGGGTCCAACGCCCATCAGATGAGCTGCAGGGAGAAAAGACTGAGAACCACTCCTACAGAGGCACCAACCACTACCCAGAATGCTGAATCCACACATTGATTCATGTATCCAACAATTGCTGAGCACCCACAATGTGCCAGGTCTGATACACTATTAATTCTTATCCCCAATATAATGTGTACAAGAATTAGTGTGTACGTACTCAAATGCATGCATTTATTTTGTTTACTTGGCTTCAATATAATTTCAGTGAACTCTGGAAATCTCCAACCCCCTTCCTTTTCCTAAGCTTCAAAAATATGTTGTTGTTCAAAATGGTAGACCGTTCTCATTGCATTTCTCTTGAATTGTCTGTTTTGCTCTCTTCAGCTGCTAACAGTGGCATGCCCAAACCCAACCCTGGAAGAGGAATAAATTACAAGTGGACAAGGCTGCATCCGCTTGAGCCCAGGACTTCCTAGTGCGCTAAGAGTGGCCCCAGTCTAGCCAGGCACCATGGAGAAAATCAGCTCCTTCTTCAGCATCATTTGGGACACCATCTTGACCAAACACCAACAGGGCCTCTTCAACACCATCTGCCTGGGCATCCTCCTGGGGCTGCCACTACTAGTGGTCATGACATTTATCTTCATCTGTTGCCACTGCTGCTGGAACCGGCCAGGCAAGAGTGGCCAAAAGCTGGAGCGCAACAAGGGGAAGAAGAAAAAGAAGAAGAAGAAGAAGGCTGAAGAAGACCTCTGGATCTCTGCTCAGCCCAAGCTTCTCCAGATGGAAAAGAGGCCATCGCTGCCTGTCTAGTTAGGCAGGAATCAGAGGCGTCCTTCCTCAGGGACTAAGCCACCTTCCAACTACACATGGGCTAGAGAGCAGCAATCCCTAAAGTGATGCACTCATGTTCACAGAGGAACTAGCCAAGGAACAAACCGCAGGCTGAGTGTCCCCATGGAGGATGTCCCAGCAAGAACACGGACAGCTCTTGGGTACTATCTTGGCAGCTATGTGTCCAATAGCAATGCTCTTTACCCCAGACTCAGGCATCCCTTCCACCTGCCTCCAGCAAGCTCCATATGCAAACGCACAAGGAATATTTGTCCATACATCTTGACACGTCTTCCAGATACACATGCATTCCCACCATGCGCACATAAGTGCTCACACACACACATGTATACACAAACGTGTGAGTTCAGGCAACAGGTACCTGGGCCAATATATTCTGTTCATCAAATGGTCATTGACTACCTACTTTGTAGATTACCGGCTCTCCCAAAAATTTCTCATAGGAAGGCCTGGCCGGATTTGGGCACACATGCACAGTTACATAACCAGATGTCTACTCCATACACAACTCAGGTTAGAGATATGTGCTTTCCCATTCCTATCCCCACACAACCTTTTACTGGAAATCCTCATATTTGGACACTCCAGCAATATACAACTGTACCAGGCTGTATATTGATACAGACACACCAAGTTCCTATGTTTCTTACGTGGGAGAAAAAGTTAAAGTGAGATGGATCAAAATTCATTGAAAGCTGTATCTTGCAACTCATGACAAAGGTTCCCATCTCCACTGATAGGTATCGAATGCTGTCTAAGACCTCTCTTTGAGACGCTACTCCCAAAACTGCTCAGTAAAGTGCCCATCTCCAAGCACAAACAAACAGCTCTTGGTGGTGGCTTCTCGAATGTTCTGGAAACCAAGGAAACTCCATTCACTTCTGTGAACTGCAGTTGTGGGCCTGTGCAATGTTTTACAGATGGGAAGGAGATGTGACACCTGACACCTGACCTAGGGATCTGCTGTGTAACCAAAGCTTCTCAGCAGGGAAGGAATTGAGGCACAGTCTCGTGGAAGGCACACTGGAAACAATTTCATAGGGTTGTAGGATGGTATGTTGCAGGTGGGGTACACAAGTTACAGAGTCTGATGAAAGTATAATGAAGCTATAAAGAGGTTTATTAATATTTATCTTGAAGCTCAGGCAAGTGCCTTGCACATAGTAGGTACTCAGAACTGTCTGTGGATGCTGTTGGATACGTGATGATGTTGAGGGTCCACGTGTAATACCTCTCCAATCCCCCGGAGTGACCTTCTGTTCTGAGCCTCCTAATTGCTGCAATGGATGGAAGCTGGGTATCGAGTGCCACCCAGGCCGTGTGCAGAACCGACCGTCAGATTGGCCTGCACACCCCAAGATCGATGACGGCGGGTATGCTAGGGCAACACTGAGTTGAGGCAAGTGTCTCCCAACTGGGCTGAGGTTGGGAGGCCGAGTTAATCCACGTACGAGAGGAGCTGGTGGGTATTTTGACTGTATTGTGACCACGTGACAAAGATGGATAATTCCCAAATTGGGAGCGGGCTATGCTCTGAAAGGTCATTTGCAAATCTGCTGGGTAACTCTCTGGAAATATTTTCCCACAGAAGTTGTTCTAGGTGGCAGTAAAATTGCAATTTAATTAACAATGTAGCTAAACTATGATATCTATAGTAGCAAGAAGCTAAATTCTGCAGGATTGTGTTCATGGCAAAATGTCCTCCGTTTGCTCCCCTGGGCTGCCTGGTACTCACCTGGCCTCCGGGCATTCTCCAGGCCTGTGGGGGCAGGCCTCTCAGGCCGATTTGCATCAAGGTCTTCTAACGGGCGACCCTTTGTGTCAGAATTCAGGCCTTCACGTGTTTTAAAACCAGTCGCGTCCACCTTCTCACACCAAGTGGTCCCAAGTGCCTTGGCCACTCAGTCCCCTAGTCGTAAGCCCCTTTGAGCAGAGAAGGATGCACTCTCTTGGGGGCTCTCCCTTTGTCCCCGAAACAGCTCGTCATGGAGCATCTGGCTGCCCCCTTCCCATCACAGAACGATTGTTCATCCCCCCACGCCAAGGGCACCTGCCTCCCCATGCCTGCCACTGCCCACCAGGAGAGCTCCCTGTCCTGTCCCCCCTAAAATGGATGACTTAGGGGGAGACACGTACCTGACGGCTGAGGCTGGGTGTCAGATGTGATCTAGGAGAAAGGATCACTCGGATCGGGGACCACACAAGTAACATGGTTGCCATGGCAACTGGCTGCTAGTTTGAATTAAGATGGCAGTCGGCTGTCATTGCCGTGACAAGGCCTCTGTCTCCAGGTGCAGTACCCTGCTGTCCCCTAATCAAATGGATTTGAACTACCTCCAGGCGTGAAACACCCAGAAACTCACTTCTCACTTGCTTCCCTAGCCTTGGACTCAGGAGACCCAGACACTGAACGAGGCTTATGCTTTCCCCAACCCCCGCCTCCCTGAAGGTCTTCACCCCCCAAACACCGCCCAGTGTGCTGTAGGCCCCCAAACTTCTGTTGAGTAAGTGGATCCATGAAAAGAGCCCCATGAAGTCATTCGAATCATATTCCCTGTTCTTCCCATCATCCTCATCTTCCTCGCCCATGTTTCCTTCTTGTCTCATTCCTGCTTCTCCCAGCAACGCCTCCCCACTCCCCCCAAACCCCGGGTCCAACCTTATTCCTCTTCACTTTTACTCCTCCCCCAGCCTCTGCCCCAGAACTGCCACTAGCAGCCAGGGGAGCCTCCAAACTGGAGCCTGCTTGGCCCATCGTGAAGGGTTTTAGCTAATGGAGGACCCAAAAAGTGATAAAGAAGAGGCTTCCTAAACCAGCACAGGCTTGAGGAGGAGCCCCCGGGGCCAAGATCCGATCAGCTTCAGCCGAACTCGGCCACCACCATCAGAGAAGGCCTCCTCCCCACTGCTCAGTGTATTCTGGTGGCTTGTTTATTTCTTGGGGGAGGGGGGCATGTAGAGAAAGGGCAATCATGTTCTCCGGAAGAGGATAAATGGTCCAAGCTGTATAGTGTTCATATCTTTTTTTTCTGGAAAATTCAAACACATGCAAAAGAAAGATTTATTTAAATAAAATACCTGGACAATAGCCGTGCCTGGCCTCCTTACCTGCCAGCATCAGCTACTTTCTTGATATTAAATATTTCCCTCTCCCAGACGTCACTCAGAAATGACAGAGGCATGGACTCCCGCTAGGACACAAAAGGCCCAACTGTCCCCTGAACACTGTGGTCCCTCTGACAGGGACATAGGTCAAAGGACCTGGACCAGGCTCTCACATCACTGCTTCCAGAGTGGACACCTCAGAGACCAGACACCCTCAGAGGTGCTGGCTGCAGGAAAAACACTGATGCTCCTTAGGAACTCTTAGAGAGCATTCCCTTCAATAAGGTCAATCAATGTCTTCTTAAAGGAAAGGGGGGAAATAGCAAGAACTAAGTAAAAATAGACCTCTAGGTTAGATCTGGTATTGGGAAGGGGAGCGATCAGAAGTCTCTATAGTAGCTGCGGGGAGATAGATACATACATAGTTAGAAATACTCATAGTTAAATACTTAGGTACTTAGATACATACATACAGATACATACATACAGACACACATAGTTAGATACATAGATATATATTTACATTATTAGACGCACCCATAGCCAGACAGGAAGACACACACATATATATGTATAAAATGCATACCTTCTTTTCCAGGGGACCACAGCTTTGCATTGGTTGTGAAATGGAATGATTTAGATACCCCAGAGCCCTCCCTTGAAGATACTAAGCTGGCCATTAAGGAGAAGCCCTTAATGGGAGAAGCCCTGTAGAGTAGTGCTGTCTGACAGAGTAGATAAGATGGAAATGTTCTCTATCTATGCTGTCCAATATGGTACCACTAGCTACATGCAGCTATTTAAGTTAATTAAAATTAAATAAAATTAAAGGTGCAGGAGTTGAGTCATACCAGCCATAGGTCAAGTGCTCAACAGCTATGCATGGCTCCAGCTGCCATCCTGGAGAGCGCAGATCTAGAGGCATGGTCAAACAGCCTGGGGCTTAGGAAGACAGGCCTATGGCACCGTCTCCCCCTTGCCTTATTTCCCCCAATGTAGGCTGACATCTCTGTAGTTTTACTTGGTTCCTGGGCTCCCTTACCCATTGCTACACACTCCATGATAGTCCAAGAAGAGACTTTTCATTCAGGTCTCTGTTCTTTCCTCCAGGACTTCCAGAACTTTCCAGTGTAGGCCAGGGACCATTGTCCAGAAACCAAAGGCAGGGGCAGCTGCTGCCCACCTGGGGCGGGGAGGGTGCCAGAGCCCAATGCCATCAGCTCACCCACCCAGGCTCAGCTCTGCCCGTGGCAGGGTGCGTGTGGGCCTGAACAACACCATGCACATTCGAATGCTCCATGCGTGTTCCCGACACACCACAATGCTCTGTGCTGACCCCTTGCCCTTTGATTTTAGTATTTTTCCCAAATTCAAAGTCACAGGATTACAGAACTGGGAATAAAAAAAAAAGTCCCTTCAATAGAGCTGTCTGTCCCTGTCATGGGTTCAAAGGGATGTTTTCAAATACCTGTGATCCTTCATTCGGGAATGGCCCTGCATGCATGTATCTAACCCCCTATTGGAGACTACACATTCCATTAATATTTTTGACTCTTTTACTATTTGCCAGGCACACTGGGTGCCAGCGTCCGGACAGCCCATGGAGGATCCTCCAGGAGCCATCTGGAGAATTGCAAGGGAAGAAGTATGGAAAGGAGGGCCCCGTTTGTATTGTCTCCACCCTGAGGGTACAGCATGCAGTAGTGATGCACGGGACAGCCTGGTGAAGACCCCTTGAGTGTGATGGGCCAGGACTCAGTGATAAGGGCATCCCAATTCTGATGCTAACTCCAGTACCCACTGGTTAGAGAATTCAGTCCCATGACCTAATCTCCGTAAAGACTTACCAGTATGGTAGAGTTAATGACCATCCTCATCTCACAGGGACAGAGCAGGAATGAGATAATGCATATAAAGCATTCAGCATAGGGCCTGGCTTATAGTATATGCTCAGTAAACATTGTAATCAAGGGTAGAAGGAAGATAATGAGAGAGTAGTGTCCTTGAAGCCAAAGGAGAAGAAACTTTCAAGAAGACAGTCTGTAGAGCTAAATGATACAGACGGATCAAATGGGACAGAGATCGAAAATACTGGGCATTTTCTATTCCTCCTGGTGTCATGTGTTCCATAATTCCACCACCTACTGCACAGTCTACAAAGTTACCAGTACTCCCAATGTGCGATTGTGACGGATGGGTACACACTCACCCTTGCCTCAGCCTCTTCACACCGCCAAGCCACCCTGTGTGACAGTGCCCCCTGGTGGTCACATAAAGAAAGACTTTGAGTCAGCATTTTCCCACCTTCCTGGGGTGTTTCCCTTGGAACATTAATCCAACTGGATTGATCTGTCAGGGTCCAAACTGTCATGATCATTTGACAGATGAGGGATTTTCATAACTCTATGTCTTAATTGTCGTTAGAAACAAATTTTTGGTGAAGCATTCCATATGTTCCATCACTGCCTCCAAGAAATCTTCCCTAACCACACGAGTCTTTCCGATCACAGTAAGATCAGACTGTGTTGCATTTGTGTGTGTTCCCGTCTTCCCACACTTCCCTCTCATCCCCTCCCCATTAGAATTGGCCTTTGTGAGGTCTGAAGAGTAACTAGCTTACTCACCATCCTATCTCCAGTAACTAGCGCATACTATATGCTACATAATGCATTGATTAGGGGGAAAAGGAAAGGAAAGGAAAGGAAAAAAGATCACTGGGGTGTTTCTTGCAAGTGCAGATTCCCAGTCCCTTGGCCCTGCTGACAGATTTATTAAGTCTAAGGAATTCCAGACAATGAGCACTTCTAACAAGCACTCTAAGTAATTGTCAGAGGTCTCTGAACCACGCCTGAGAAATAGTATCTACTCAGAAAACAAAAAAATCCTATGGTCAAACAAGATGGCAAAATACTGCATATCATGACTTCCTCTCTTTGCCTCCTTGAAATCTGTTATCACGTATCACATTAAAGGTTCTAACGGGTGCTTTAGTAAAGAAACTAGTATAACTCCACTTCACTCAGAGGTTTCCCAAGCTTATTTGACCATTAAACCTCTTCCTTTAGTAGATCTGGAGGAGCAAGGATTCTGAGGAATATCATTTTGGAAATGCTCCCATGGAGGGTTCATGTACAGCTCAATTCATATCATCCCTGAAGAAACCCTTTCTGAAACATAGTCAGATTCCCCTTTACCTTCACTAGCCTTTTCTTTCTCACTCTGCCTTTTCTCCTTTGTCCGTTTGTGAGCCGCAATAATCCCATTGGTGGCTATCCATAGCACCTACACCTTAGAGCTGGCTAGGGCTACACCTCTATCAGGGAAAAAAGAAGAGAGAGAAAGAGAAGAAAGAAAATCCAAACGTTTTGATTGAAGTTATAAAGACTAGAGATCCAAGCCCTGTTACCATTCCAGAGTGCTATATATTATGTAAGAGCGCTTTCAGTATCTCATTTCATTCTTGCAGTGATGGATGTCATTCCCATTTTATAAACGAAGAATAGGAGGCCCATAGAAGGTAAAGTAACTCACCCGGGGCCCGAGATGGAAACCAAAGTCTTCAGAATGCCATCCTGGTGCCCCTTCACACACCAGCCATCACGATCCAAGCCGATCTGATGATTTGGGCTCCTCAAAGACTGTTAATTGCAGTACCTACTTTGAGTCAGAAACCTCTTGAATACAATAAAAGGCTATGCCCACAAGGCTTTCAAGTACCCAGATGTCTCCTTCAGGTTTTCCACAGCAAGCTCACCTGCCTCCTTACCCTTGTCTAATTAAACCTAATTTTCTTCACTTATACAAATAAAGAACTGTTTCTGCTCCGTTTTGCTTCCTTCCCTTATTTAAATAACAACACTGCAATACCATTGTTTTCTATTTCTGTCATTACACATGCACTGAAATTTATCTGCATTATAGAATAAACAGGCACTTATGGGCTAACCTGGGAACCTAACTTACTGATATAACGTGGCGAGTGGAATTCAACCCATTCCCCATTTCCCCCACTGAAACAACCAACTAACAGAAGGACTTCAGGGAGTGGATTCAATTACACATTAGGAACTGCCTGAATCTCTTCCAGGGTGCTCCCTTCACCTTTCATCATGCCAATGGATCCATCTTCTTGTCTCAGCAACCAGCTGGGTAGACCAGGTAGGAGGATGGAGTCTAGGTTTTAGTAGGCAATGTCTTCAAGGTGTTTCCCAGCTACCTATTTTGTGCATTAGGCCAGCAGGAACACTACCTGCACACCCACCAAGCCCGGAATGGATGCTGAGCTGTACCCCATAAGTGGATTCTCCAGGCCATGTCACCCAGCAAGGAAGAAAAGGAAGAGCCCCCTGAACCCCCCTTTATAAATTTTTTTTTTTTATGTTTTATTTATTTCTAGGAGAGAGAGAGAGAGACAGCGTGAGCAGGGGAGGGTCAGAGAGAGAGGGAGTCACAGACTGAAACAGGCTCCAGGCTCTGAGCTGGCAGTCAGCACAGAGCCCGACGCGGGGCCCGAACCCACGAAGATCATGACCTAAGCGAAAGTCGGACGCTTAACCGACTAAGCCACCCAGACGCCCCTGAACCCCGCTTTATAGAGGACTGGAAAATGGCCTTGAAGGGAAATGCTCCCAATAGGACAACACTGCCATCTGCTGGCCTGACTGGGTACTGCATGTCAGCTTCAGGGGGCTGCTGGCCCTGACCGGATTGATCTGCACTCTTTATTGACAGAAACTCCTTCCTGATCCTCTTCACTGCCCCGGTGGAGGGCTTAAGGGAATGATTTGGAAACTGTTTTAGCAGAGGACTTCCTCCAGCAGATGACTGCGTTTTGCCTAGAGCTTTCCATTATTCATACTTGTTTTTCTCCTGCCCTGTCTCCTTGTCCATGAAGTCTGTTTCCACCCACCACACCTAGTCACCTAGTCCTTGTCCTTTCTGACATCCCCTTCCTCAGAATCCCTCGAGTCATTCTTAGTCTTCCTCCCTGGTTCATTCAACATTTTCTGGCTTTAATGATCCTTGAATCCAGAGAGTTCTCAGTTAAAAGGCAGAGCTCGTGAGGTCACGTGACAAACATAAACTCTGGATCCCAATTCCTAGAGGAACAACCAGCTCTAAACTAAGCCTGAAAGGACCCTTCCCCCATCAGTTCCTGCTGATTCCTCCTCCTAAATATCTCTTTAATCTGTGGCCTCTCCCCCGTCCCATCATTTCTGCCACAGACCAAGAGAGACGTTACCTGCTGTCTACTGCAATAGCCTTTGACCTGTCTGTGAATCTCCACCCTCTCCCCAGAGCCTCCCTCAACAGCTCCCCACCATTCTCTATCTTGCCCCCAGATGCAGATTTGTAAAATGCAAGCTTGACTGCCAGTGTGACTGCAAGATTACAACACCTCTGAGCGTCCTCTGTGGTCCAGCTGCGTCAGCCAACTGGTTGTCAGGACTGGTTGCATGTTAGCTTCCAAAGGCTCCCAGACACAACGCTCAGCTGAGACCCACTGAGGCAAGAGTCCCTGGAGGTGAAGCAGGGTCTAGGCTGAGACCCAGCACTCACGTGGCCAAGCGTCCCTGGCATCTCTCTAGCCTGGCTCCCATCAACCACTCCTCTCCCTCCCTCACCCAAGCCACACTCCACCCATTCCCGTCTTTTCCACCAAGTTCCCTCTTCCCGAGGTGCCCCGCCTCCCTCGGGCCTCTCTTCCCTCCCTGACAAACTCAGACTCTTCCTTCCGGACCTAATGCTGACGTCACACCCTTGACACTTGCTCTGCAGTGACTGTCCATACCCCTGTTGACTCGCTCTCCCCGATGTGCCACCGCTGTCATGGTTTGTCCCCAGGGCTGTCCGACTATCAGCACCACGCTGCGGGCTGCTGGAGGGCAGCGCCCGTGCTCAGTCCATGACCACTTCGCTCGCAGCTTGCGTGGAACAGAAGATGGCTCAGGAACCTTAGCACACGCTTGTGATACTTCTGTCCTTGCTTCTGCCCTCCTGCCGGGCTTGCAGCCTGGCCCTGCAGTGACAGCTTTTGTCTTCTTTGGTTTGTCCTAAAGGGTAGGGATTGCCTCTTATGCTTCAATGCCCTGATGGCTCAGAATCTGACGCTAAGAAAAATGGTCTCTGCAAAGGTTTGTCCAGAAACCCATAACCAGGGGCGACGTTCACCAGGCTACCAGAGTTGGGGGCTGCTGGAGCTGGTCCCATTCCAGTGAGGTTAGGCACAGACAGGGCTAGAACGTTCTCCTCAGTCAGATAAATAGCCTTTAAAAACGAGCCTCTCCTGACTTCCTTTTCTGCCCCATGTAGAACCCTTAAGGGTCAGCTGAGGTTTCCTCTGCCGATCCTCTGGGCGGCACGGCTCCAGTGGGCCAAAGAATGCAAGAAACATTCCAGTTTCCTGCAAGTCCTTATCTTGGCCGGTGGTGGAGAAATGCTGCGGTCAGTGGACACAGAGGCGTGTGGCTGGCATCACAGAGCAGAGAGACCAGCAGCAGGCGGCCCCTCCGTCAGAGCTACTCAAAGAGTGGCCAGTATTGGCGGCAGCCCCAGCCCAGACCTACAGAGTCATGAGGCCTGAGGATGGGGCCCACCAACCTGTGCTCCACCCAGCACGTTTACCAACCAGTTACCAACCAGCATTGAGAATTTTTGCCCACCTTGCACCAGCCCCAGCTCTGAATCATTCCGGGATTTGATCCAGCACATCCACTGGGTTGAGTACCAGGCTCTTGAATCACCAAGGTGAGGGCAAGAAGAGTACATTTTCTTCACTTCTTTAGCGCCAGTACTTAGAGCAGAAGCTGGCTCATAACAGGGCTTCATCAGCATTGATGGAATGAATGAGAGTAAATGAATGAAGGACAACAGCCCACACACCGTCTGGCTTGCTCACCTCTGTGATCTCCCCTGTGTCCCTGTGTCCCCCCCCCCCACCCCCACCCCAGGGCACAGCACACTGCCTGGTAAGAAGCAGGCAGACAAATGAATACATGAATTCTTGTTTAGACCACCCTCACCAGATCCAGCAGTCTCTACAGCATTGTGTGTGTATGGGGGGCCAGCAGTGCTGAAAACCTATGAGGGGAACATAAACTGTTTTGAGAGCATGGCGTGGCCTTCAGCCAGAGGTTAAAGCCTGGACAGGCTGCGGCAATGAACAACTTCCTGGTCCTGGGGCAGCAGAAGCTTTTAGGGCACATGCCTTCCTTCCCACTCACTCATTACTCCTGGCTCCAAATACCATTATTTGCCATCTTGCAAGTATGAAACCACAGGCCAACCAAATTCCATTGTAATGCACAAATTGTATCTTCACATGCACTTGGGTTAAATTTAGATTTCAAGTGCACTGATGTGAGTTAAATAACACAAGGCAAATTTTTTTAAAAACCAGGTGGGTTTTTTTTTTCTCTTGAATCAGAATTTAAGTTACTTTAATAATGATCAGAGAAACTTTCCAAAGGGGTAGAAAAATAAACCCAAAGGACCCGATTTGCCAAGTGCCTGATCGGACAGTAAGCTTCCACTGCTGGGCACCTTCAGAACACCTATGGGCCCAACAGTGTGGGAGCCCAGGGAAAGGGGCTGAGGACCTGAGGGCACGACAGAGTCACTGAACAATCTTTGGGAGCAACCAATCATCAAGAGAGTCCAATTATTTAAAGTTGAAATGAGTGTGAGAATTTATTCACAACATATGCAGATCTCTGAAAGTAACTATGCAAATACATGGGAAGGGGGAAACTTGAAAAGCGCGGTAACGTGGAAGCTGGGTTCCCAGCCTGCTGGACATTGGTCACAACTTCACTAGATGTGAATCCATCTTGGTCCCTTGTGGTTCCCTTTGTTCTTTCTCCTAATCTAGCATTTTTAAAACAGGGGAAGATTCATACTTTTTTCCTCAAAACCCAATGGTCTTGGGAGGCAACAAGTATTAGACTACGTTACCCCCTTCCTTGGTCATCAAAGAAAACACTTCCTTGGTACTGCTTTCTAGAGAAAAGATTTCTATTAGCAGAACTTTAAATATATATACACCAATTTCCAGAGACTCTCAATTGGCAAAATGCTAGATGATTCTTTTCTTAACCCCCGTTCCCCCAATCCCATATATTTGTTACTGAAAACAGACTGACAAACCTTGCAGTCCGGTGTTGTCTTTCTCACAACTACTATTGTGTTGATTTGCAGGCCCCCAATATAGATGGGCAGAAATGCAGGTGACAGAGACGTAACCTGTGCGGTCTGAAGCTTGGTCACACACTTGTTCTGGAGGTTACCCAGCCATCTCAGAAGCCAGAGGCCAGGAGCATCCCTCTAACTTCCATTAACCAGTCACTACTACCCACCTTGCCCCAAGCCTACACAGCCCCAACCCTGGGCTGGTCTTGTCTCGTGCAATGACTGTTCAAATAGGCCATCAGAATGTTCTCAAATTTTCTCCTACTGTCCGCTTCTTTCTGTTCAGGACATGCTCTCCACTGTAGCCATGAGGGCGGATTTTCAACTCTACATAAGGAATGGAGAATTCATGTCCTTTCCACGGCTCCCAGTTCACCCCCTACATGAAAAAGAAAAATGCCAACATTAAGAAAAGGCACTAGGGATGGGGGAGGGGTGGGTTATGTACAAAGGAATGCTTCTTTATGGGGAGAGGGGCGGAGGGGGGTGAATACGCCCTCTCTGCTTAGGGAAGACAGGGGTAGTTACAAAAAGGGAAGTACAGGGCGCCTGGGTGGCTTAGTCGGTTGAGCGTCTGACTTTCGCTTGGGTCATGATCTCGCGGTTCGTGGGTTCGAGCCCCACGTCGGGCTCTGTGCTGACTGCCAGCTCAGAGCCTGGAGCCTGTTTCAGTCTGTGACTCCCTCTCTCTCTGACCCTCCCCTGCTCATGCTGTCTCTCTCTCTCTCTCTCTCTTTCTCTCTCTCTCCTAGAAATAAATAAAACATAAAAAAATTAAAAAAAAAAAAAAAAAAGGGAAGTACAGCTGAATCTAGAAACCTGCGCTCTCTGCCGGGCAACAGAAGTTAGACAGACTGGTGACTCAGAAGACCCCCCCCCCCCCACTACCGCCACCGCCACCTGGGGTTGGGAGGATAGAGTGTGAGCCCAGGGGCCAGGGAGCCTACAGCAGCAGCAAAGCTAACACAGGGTCAACCTGGCCGGCAACAGGCACACTATCTTTGGCTCACTCTTTTCCGTTCCAAAAAAATTAAAGGCAAAAATAAACATATTAATTGGCCAATCATGTAAAATCATTTTCAATTTAAACTGTTTAGATACTAGCTCTGGGGTAACAAATAGCCTGCTGAAAACTAAATTTCATTTTATGTCTTTTGACTGGTGAGCGCAATAATATTTAATTCACTTAATAACCTTGCAACCTGGCCAATAAAGAGCCCAAGTGACCAATTTTATGTATTTTAATTTGTGAGGTAAATAATAAACAAGAAGCTAAATGCCTTGCAGACTGTGAAAAGCACATTAACCAGATGAATGTCTTTTATTAGCAAATATGGGGATGGTTTAGGGCATGTTGGCTGCTCATTTCAAATATTTGATCTCTGATCACAGGCTTTCCTGAGTCAGCCCACATGCTGCCACCATGATTCATGGACCCACCTACCTTGGCCTCCCTGGGAGAAATTTTCTTCTTCTCTTTGAAAAATCACAAAAGGATTGGGAGTCCCCGCTGTCTGGTCAGGGCCAAAGTAATCAAACTGTACCTGGACTTGAGATGTGCTAATGTTTACAGTAACGTCCCTTACAAGGTAGTTCTGGGGAGAGGTGGCTTCCTGAAGGCTAGAATAGACCCAGGGTGGGAAGTTAGAAACCCAAGACGGGGAGGAGTTTGTGGCGACAAAGATACCATTTTCAAGAAGCTGTATGGGAGCAGCCAGGAGATGCCTGGCAAGGAGTGAAGATGATGTCCACAGGTCGTGGAGGTCTGAGAAATCACTGGTGGGAAAGTTTCAGGGCAAGGAAGGGGGGAGGAGCCATCAGGAACTCAGCCCTGTGTGCACCTCCTGAAATGGAGAGAGCAGTTTAGCACAACGCTCTGGGGAAGATCCTGAGTGGCTCTGGATGAAGTGGATCCAAAAGTGGGTCAGATCAAAGGCAGAAAGGACTTTGTTTTCCTGGTGATCAAAGGGCTTGAGAAAAATAGCTCTGGTTTCACTGGGAGAACAACTAGAAAGAGTTCTGAAGTGTCTGTTATGAATGGAATGTTAGTCCCCACTCGCCCCAGAGGCATATGTTGAAGCCCTCCTCTTCCCCCCCCCCCCACCCCGTGTAGAAGTCTCTGGAGGTGGGACCTTGGAGAGGTAATTACGTTAAAGGAGATCAGGAAGGTGGGTCCCCCATGATGGGATTAGTGCCCTTGTAAAAAAAGGGAAGAGAGACCAGAGCTTGCACTCTCTCGCTCTCTGGCTCGCTCTCTCTCTCTCCACTATATGAGGACACAGTGAAAAGGCCACCATTCACAAGACAGAAAGAAAGCTTTTACCAGGAACTGAACTCTGCTAGCAACTTGATCTTGGACTTCCAAGCCTCCAGAACTATGAGAAATAAATGTGTCTTGTGCAAGCCACCCAGTCCATGGTATTTTGTTACTAAGCGTCCATGTATGAACCAGTAAACTGAGATAGTGCATAATCCATGTCATCTGTCTCTCTCCAGCAGTGGGCAGCCTGAGCTCCCACCCACCTACACTAAGTGTGCAGCTCTGGTGGGAATGCAGAGTGGGGAAGGGCTGCGGCAGATGGGCAGGAAGGCCTTGACCTCAAGGCCATGGAGAATGGAGAAGCAGCCCCACTGCCCTGACTGGGAGCAATCAAAGGAGAGAGGTAGCCAAACCAGCCTGGAGAGTGTCACTTTGGGAATGCAAAGCTTTGGGCAGAGCTTGAGACAAAAGAAGTTCACCTGTCGCCTACCTCACTGTGTTTGGTCTCCCCGTATCTGCCATTGGGGTTGGCCAAGTGGCAGTTCTTGTACCACCAGCCACCATGATGTGTCAGGGCACAGTTGCTGAGGGCAATATCATTGTCTCTGTCAAAAGTTGTAAACTTCCATCCATTGTGGTAAGTAAGAGCATCCCCTGTGGGAGAGGAGAGATGAGGGGTGAATGTCGGACTTTGGCCGCTGAGATGGTGACGGAGCTCTGGGTTCAACAGGACAATCTCTGGGCATGAAAACGCCAAGGATCCGGGCATTCATGTCACAGGTAATCACTCGTCTCTGAAAATGGCCACGGTGAGACCATGATACAGATGAACAGATTCTCCTTCCGGGCCTGTCACCCAAACTTCAGGCCTGTTTCTCCAGTAGCTTCAACAGCCTTAACAGCATTTTCATGTAGGAGCTCCATAGTGAAATAACCAAACATCTGAAACCAAACTCGTCGGCTCTCCTCCCAGCACCCAATGACCCCTCACACAAGGCAACCTCCCCCCATCTTCCTGAGCCACATCTGCCAATCCCGTGTACCCCTTGATTGAGCCCACTGTCCCCACAGGCATGGCTGGCGTGTGCAGCAGACAGGTCTGCCCTCCATGCCTCTGCTCCCGGTTTCTCTCTGCCCTCCTCGGTCCAACTCCCAAGCATTCCTCAAAGCCCAGCTGGACCCCACTCCTGAGGAAGGGTCAGCCCCTTCAATAATCCCTCACACCCCCTCCCAGCACACACTCCCGAGTTTCCTGGGCACATATGTACAGTTTAGTGCTTCACTACATCCTGTCTGGAAATCCACTTGAATCATCTGACTTGTATTTTTACTATTTCCCCATTGTATCTGTCATCTTTGTATCAGTTTAATTCTTAATTCAGCTCATAAAAGGCGATGGGGCCTGTATCAATCCTAAATTGTGTTCCTAACATAACAACACTTATGTTTTCACCTGATGCCTGAGCTACCCATCACCTTCACATATGTATCCTCCTCCCCTCTTCCGCTGTCCCCATGACAGCCTACAAGGTGGGTGGGCCAAGCAGCCTGCAGTCCTGTGAGGAGACAGACTCACAGAGGTTAGACTCTGGGGACCTGTCAAGGTCCCACTGTCCCCATATAGCAGGGCCGGGACTCAAACCTCAGTCCTCAGATTCCCAGTCCAGGGTCCTTCCTGATATACCAACTTGCCTGTGGCTTCTTTCTTTCCGTAGAGACTGATAATTACGCTAACCAGAGCAGGCCGTCTCCGGTTCGCCCAGGGTGGACCCTGGACCAGCAGCACCAGCATTACCTGCGAATTTGTTAGAAAGGCACGTTCTCAGCCTCACCCCCACCCCAGACCTACAGAACCAGAAACTCAGAGGAAGTACCTGCCTGCAGTCTGCATTTTAACAAGCTCTTCTGAAGTCAACAAGCCCTTGTAGCAGATGGACACTAAAGCCTGAGAACGTCAGTCTGCAACTTCCTTCACTTATCCCAGAACCATGAGATTCCAGGACCCCAGCACCAGGCTAGGCTCTGGGAAAACAGACGGAGGCAGTCCCCGCTCTCAAGAACTTAGCTGGGGGACGGAGGGTGCAGATGTATGTAAAGAGTTAACACATTATGCAAATGGAAGGTCCCGGATTGTCCGTCTGACTTTGCAGCTCACACAGTGGCTCCTTGATGCCTTCCCCACGAAAGCAGGGGAAGCAAGAGCCGGGGACACGGGCCATTCCCGCTAAGACAGCTGAAGGGCCCCTGCCCCCGTGGGTTTCCTCCAACTGAGGAAAGGCATGTAGTTGCTGTGTTTGTACACATCTCTCTCCCCTTCAGCTCTCTTGCAGATAGTTAACTACAGCTTAAAATAACACGCATGGCTCCTTTGGGGACACTCTTTTAATGAGCGGAGCTTACGGAACGTGCATCTAAAGTTCCCAGAGCTGTTTCCTAAGAATCTATGCCGAGGTTATTTTTTAACGATTTGTTCACAGTTATCGAACCTTAGGCACCAAGATCAAGGAAAGCGAAGCAGGTTTCGGACTAAGTGTGGCAGTTTATTCCGTGATGGATTTGCTCCCTCCCAGAAAATGATGCCATGCTGATGTTCAGAGCATAGACAGTGAGCACACTCATGAATCAAGAAATTACTTTTCTCTGGTTGTCGGGCCCCTGCCAACACGGTGTTATGATCTATTAAGCTTATCTCCCTAAGTAAGATAAAGTGGAAATGCCAGTGGTGGGCAGCCCCTCTCTCTTCTATCAGAGCTTGAGGAGAAATAAGCAGCCTTAACTTTTAGTGTAATGGCTTTGGGTGGGCAGCTGGCTCCCCTCAGGAAGTGGGTGTGACGTTGGTGGCAACCCCATAAAGGCTCAGGGTGGGGCCACTGAGCTGGTCATCACCCATCTCGTCAAAGATACATCACTCCCAGATCGGCTCTCCTCCCACACCTCCTGAGACGGGGAGGATGACCCAGGTAGCTGCACCACCTTAGACCACAAGAAGCCATCGACATCACATCCTTGTAAGTCACACAAGATTATCTGGACCTTGAACCCTGGGAACAGGAACGGTCCCATGAAAGGGGATGTGTGCCATTTCTATCTTTCCCTTGTGTCCACGAACCCAACAATTTTTCCTCTTTTTAAGTACCAGTATTTAAGGTGCACCTGGGTGCTCAGTCAGTTAAGCATCCGACTTCAGGTCAGATCACGATCTCACGGTTTGTGGGTTTGAGGCCTGCTTCAGGCTCTGCACTGACTGCACTGACTGCTCAGAGCCTGGAGCCTGCTTCAGATTCTGTGTTTCCCTGTCTCTCTGCCCCTCACCCTCTCACACACTCACTCTGTCTCTCAAAAATAAATAAACATTAAAAAAATTATAAGTACCAGTATTGAAGAAGTGGTTTCAAAGCAAGAAAGGCACTGACTGACATTTGTATAGAACAATTCCTCACCATGGACAATCAGCACCCTTGGCCCCAGCTGGTGGAATTCCTCAGCCACACTTCCAAGTGCCCCCAGGGCGTGAACCCATCCCTGGTTGGGCATCCCTGAGTCTCGTGTATACAGGACTTGAACCCAGCTGCAAATGATTGGTTAGCCCACAGAAGTCACTCGGTGCCACTCCAAATGTCTGTGTCTTCACGATCTCCTCTTCAGAGATGAAGAGCATCTTGCAGGTAGGGCTCATTAGATGTCCTCCCTGCCCTGCTCCAGGGCTCAGAATCAGAAACCAAATTTACCCAGCACTGCCTTGCTGGGCTCTCCTTCATGGGGCAGTAATGGGCTCTCTGATGGGACTTCAGGGGAAGCAGAAGTCGGGGGCCCACCTGCACAGTGTGAGTCAGGGCAGTCCTTACTGGCACGTTTTCCCCCATGGCCGCACATCTCTGATCTTAATTGGAGCTCTAATGGGGGTCTGGGGGGGCTAGCACATGTACAGAGACATCAAACCCTCACCTTCTATTTGAGCTCTACATCTGAACAGTACCTCATCATTTAGGACATGAGGGGTCAGAAGTTTCCTAAATTTCAAAACTCTCCTGGGGACCAATCAGCCTATATAAGGAAAGCTAAAACTCCACTAAGCCCACCACGCGATTTCAGAGTTCCAAGTAGGAATGCCGGCACATATGGGGAAGCCAGAGCGCTGCCTACATGTGGTGTGATCTGAAAGCCTCCCAAGGCTTCCTATGAAAAAACACACCCTCCACTGACCGGCACTGTGGGCCTGAACAACCCCAGAATGGGAATTATCCCCTAATCACAGTTAAAATGCATACTGAGTCCCTGGGAGGAGGATCACATTAATTCACGAATATATTGACTCCTTTTCACTCCTTTCCCCATTAGCGTCAATTCCTGGTTATTTTAAGGCAGTTGTCAGAAAAGGTCCACGTGTGCAGCCAAAGAGGGGAGAATGGGTGGTCCTCATGGGTGGCCTGAGTGAGGTCCCAGCCGAGAGAGCCCAGGGGGCACTGGGCTTCCGGGAGAGACGGGACTCCGCATCTTGTCCAAGGAAGGTCCCGTGAACGGAGTCTCCAGAGGCTGGGAAGCTTGAGCCGGAGAAAGGCCGGCTCACTTGGCCTCCACCGTCAGTAGTGAACGTCAAGGAGAAGGAAGAGCAGACATCCTCCACGTGCACTGAGCAGGGCAGGAGGGGGCCCGAGGGGTCTCAGGGAGCCTGTGACATGTGCACTCCTCACACCTAATGGCTGGAGACCCAGGAATGAGCAATGTCGTCCAGTTTCATCCAGGGCGGGGAAAGGTACGCAGTGCGGAGTCGAGTAAAACAGGATCTCTCCGTCCCCCTCATTTGGTTTTATCCTCACAACACCGGGAAGGCCCGTCTGTGTTTCCCAACTGCAATTTAAGTGCCTTGTTCCTAGGCCTGGCTTTCGTGTTTCGTATTGTACTGTAAGCGGATAAAGTGCAGCACACCGAATGTCCAGAAACTGTATAGAAAGTTTCCAGCCTATGGAGACCCCAGACCCCCTCGAGAGAAGTGACAGCTCTTCCAGCAATGGTACGTTTTTTTTTTTTTTTCAAGGATGTTTCCCTGAAACACTTTGCACTTATCTTTGCACACTTGAACCCTTTGCCACGTCTGTAGCCCAAACTCTTCGTGCACTAGTAGCTAACTACCGCTCCCACTTTGTCTCCTCCCATGTCCCCATGTCAGCAAACTCTTCCCTTCACAGCCCCTGTGCAAACTCTCTGGGTCTCAGGGACTCTCCTCTCTGCACGATGAGACATCCATAATGCTACACCGACAGGTCTTGCTAGCAACGGAACATTTTAAATGCATCTGCTCTGCACCAGGCTCCATGCTGAGCACTGGGAAACAAGAGCAAACACAAAATTCATGTGGTTAAAAAAAAACAATTAAACTATAAGACCTAAAAGAAACTGCATTAGCAACTGGCCGCTCCAGATCACACCCCAGAGGCATCTGGTCACAGTCATCCACCCTTAGGGGGCTCCTGAGTGGCCTCAGACTTCAAGGGCACACCCCAGTACCCTTGCTTCTGCTCGGTCCTTGCTCACCATGGACTCCCCCAGGCTGGGGGTGGGGTGGGGGGAGGGATTCTTTGTTTCCCATCTAAGCCCTACCCATTCAGAGCCAGCTCCCTCCCCCTGCCCTGGGGGAAGCTTCCTTCAACAGCCTCAGTCCTCACTGTACCCACTTTGTCGCATCCTGTAGCTCTTTATTCTCCTTACCACTAGGTGACACTTTGCAAAAGTTACTTTATATTATTATTTATCTATTTACTTGACCGTCTAAGGGGAGTGACCATGTCCTATACAGTCAGTGGATCTGGGAGGTAACACATTCCTACAGGGACACATCAAAGTCAAAACTGTGCAAAATCAAACAACCATTCACTGGCTTGGGAATTTAAAAACACTATAAGTTAAAAATAGGATATTAAAACAACAACCACTGTTCCCTCTCAAATAGAAAACTCAATAGTATAATCCTAGTATTTCAGCCACGTTGCTTATGTTGTTCTCTTCCTTTACATCCGAACACACCATCGACTGGCTTACGCCCAAGGGGCAGCAAATCGAGGTGAGGGGTTCCCTGCTTCGAAGGACCTGCTAATTTCTGTGTGGTCACAGCTGGATGAAGTTAATGAGACCTTCCTTCTTGTTGTTTGAATCAGCCCCGTCATTTTTCTCTTTACTTATAGTAAAGTGCTGCAAAATATTCAAAGAATAATACACACACACACACACACACACACACACACACATACACACTTCCATGCAAGGACAGCAGCCACATTGCTGGAGCCCAGTGAAAGGTGGGCATTAATCACTCAGGATGCGGGTTCACTGGCCAATGCACAATAGCCTGAACCAGGGGAGCGTAAGAGGAGGGTTTTTACCGGTGGGGGGATGAACATATAATATACAGAAGTCCCAACTTCCAGATGGTCAAGGATTGCTTTCACACATGTTTACTGCTCACCCTCTATAGGGAACGGGTCATCAGGACTGAGGAGCCTCAGTCATCAATGAGGACGATTCACCTTCACCCAGCAGTACTGGACTCCCAGATCCGCGGCATGTGGCAAACCAGTCCTCAGACCCACAGAGAGCTCAACACCCTAGCAGCGGGGAGATGTGAGTGCTCACCGGCTGTGCCTCTGTATTTCCCGACTGTGAGCTTGTACCGCTCCTTGCTGGAGGCCACCTGGAAGGAATCGTACACAGCATAGGCGGATTCGTTGGCAGTCTGTAGGTCCACTCTCACCTCATACCGGGTGGAGGTGCCAGTGGTGAGATTGTGCAGCTTGTCAAGTCCTAAAAATAAAGCAGGCAATCCCAATAACCAATCAACCTCCGTGCCCAAGCGCTCGCCTACCAGCAGCTGAGATGTTCAGCACCAAAAGTCACCTTGGCCTTTACCACTTCTGCTAATGGGTGCCTTCCTCACGCTATCTCTTTTGGGGGACCCATCTTCTTATCCTATTATCTCTTTGGCAGGGCCATATTAATGAGGGTGGAAACTGTGTCCTGTTGGAACGAGCGGTGGAGGGTAACCATGTGGCGAAATGCCCCCTTGCTCCTTCTCTCTAAAGTAGACTCACTTCTGCTTATCATCCCCTATTACACTAAGCAGAAGAGGACATCAACTCCCACTGTAAGGGCACTGGAGCAATTCTGCACCAAGCAAACCACAATGTCATCTACTCTACCCGACACTGAGTCTCCAGATTGTGATTTTTTCATTCTCCATTCCCCGGTGGGTGCTTTTGGCTAGTTCACCCTCTATGTGCATCTGCTCCAGAAGAGAGCAGAAGGGAAAGGGAAAAAACAATCCCCATCATGACGGGCATTACTAGTAGAATTTCAGGGACAACTGGTATGGCCTCCCAATAATAGCCCAGAATCCCAATTGGTCAACTGCTTTTCTACTGTGGTTTCTAGGACATGCAGGCTCCAGGCAGATCCTGTGGGACTTAGATACAGCGTAAAGACCACCCGTGACAGCCACACCCTGTCACAAGCCCAGCATATGAGAACCTTCCCAGCAACACGGCCCCAATGACACCTTGCTGGGCAGGTTCCTCAGAGGGTCCTGTCCCTGTCACTGGGACATCTTCCTGAATGTGGTGAGCCCTCACAAGCCACCCACGCAACTTTTGAAGAGAGATGTCCCCTCCACAACACAGCCCCCCCGGAATCTCAGCGCTCATACCCAGCCAGAACTCCTTCATGGGGTCCCCAAAGCCTTCCACGTAGGTCCGCCAGCGCTTGAAGAAATCCAGCTGCCCAGTGTTGCGCCTCTGGAAGACCTGTGAAGGGAGACGGGCCTTTTACTCTGACACACTGGGACAGATGTGACCAAGTAAAAGAGGACAGCAGCTTGGACTGGGGGCTGCCCAGAGGCTAGACAGAAGCAGAGAGAAGGTCAAGCTGACAGATGTGATGACAGACTGAAAGTGGAACTGAGACAGAGGGAGAAGTCAGGAGTGATTCTGGTGGTTTGGGCTTGCGGTGCTGGGTGGCTGTTCCCTCAGCTATCCGCTGAGATGGGGTCTCTTAGAGAAGATGGGTTCTGCGGGCGCATCATGAGCTCACTTGGGACAAGGTAAGTGAGGGTCACCCCTGAGATGTCCTGGTGAATGGAGAGGCCATGGTGGCAGCTGAGAGTAAGGACTAGGGTTCTGGAGAGAGATCTCGGCCAGACTTACAAAGGTAAGCATGTGTCTCAGATGATGCTAAGTGTTCACAGGACCCGTTTCACTTTCCTCTCCCCAGAAACACAGAAAAGCTTCCTTTTCCAGGCTCCCTTGTAGTTAAGCTGAAATCATGTGACTCATTCAAGCCAAAGGACTGTAAGTGGGAGCTCAGGAGGCCGGGGGGCTCTCCACACTCTCTCTTCCATTGAGATATGCCACAGGGCCTTGGTGAAGGCCACATGTCCACAGGGTAGAGCCCTGAGCCGGAATCAGCCTGAGTCCCCAAGTCACCACTGAGAAGTGACTGCCAAACCCACAGAAGATTGCACATATGGGAAGAAACGTTTTATGTCTTAAATCATTGGAATCTGGTGGTGGCATTTCCTGAAGCAAGTCCCCCTCTATCCTAATGAATACAGGAAACCACTGGTACACAGAGTGTAAAGTGAAGCCACTGGAGAGGAAGAGACCACCTGGGAAGAAAGTAGGAACTGAAAAAGAGAAAGGGGCCTACAATCAAGACTCAGGGACCACCAATACACAGCAGCCAGGTGCAGAAGGACGCATTCATTAAGGAGAATGTTCTTTAAGGACAGCTAGGAAAACATGGAACCACAAAGACCACAAAGAGAAAAGTGTGGCCGGTAGTGTCACGGCAGGTAAGCAGTCAAAGACCACATGGCCTAAGGAAATGTCCATAGAACTTAGTGACACGAAAGTCATGAGTGACTCTAGCAAAGGCTAGTCACTGGAGAGAGACAAGGGCAGAAGCCAGACTGGAGTGGCCTGAAGAGTGAGTGAGAAGTGAGAAAATGGAGACAGACTTGGGTACTATTTCCTGAAAATATGTGTTGCTTACTTTTCAAAAACTCCTCTCTTTGGGGAAGGAAGGTAGTTCCTTTCAGAGTAAACTGGACTCGTTTATATGAGGCAAGCCTGAAAAGGAGCTCCAAGCTAAACACACCTGTATATACTATGGGAATTGAGACTAACTGATGTCATTCCTTGTGACCTTGAAAGAAAGCCGCACTAATCGCCATCGTAGCTAACCTCAGAAATGATTCTGGAATTCTGGAATGGCAGCTTTGTCTCCACCTACTTTCCTTTGGAGTCATTCAAATGCAGAAGCCCCAACACAAAGCCCCATCTCCCTCCATTCTGCCATGCTTCACAGCAGGTGCCTTGAAATGAAACACATTATCTCTAGTTTGGTTAAGGTACCCCTCCCGATATGTGTGTGTTCTTTCCATTTCTTTGGGAGGGAGAGGAGAACAGGTTGCTCACAACAGTGCTGACATCTCCACATGGGGGCTCACATTTAAGTCCTATGAAGCACCAACCCACTTCTGCTGGCCCAGGAAGCACAGAACTAGGTGTCAATGGTGGGCAGGAGAGCCCTGGCCTCTGAGGCAGACCATGGCCACGCCTGGCCAGGGGCTGGTGAGTCAGTCATCTCTATCACTGAGCCTGTCGGTCAGCTTGGTGACCAACAGGGTTAGACATGAGAAGGAAGCGTTTCTCTCAGAGGTGCTAGGAGAACTCAATGAGATGGGAAGTGTAAAAATGTTCTACCTCAAAACCTGGGTGCTGAGCAGAACTTAGGGAAGGATCAGGCAAATAATTACATGCCGCATTAACACTGTCGTTCCTTTCCCCTTCTGTCCTTATTTTAGAGACTGTCACTCCTCTCTTGGCTTCCTTCATTTCTTTACTCATTGACCCACTTATGTAACTACCAATTACTGAGCATTTTGTTAAATGCTGGCTCCAGGGCAAGTATATATGATGCCATTTTACAGATGTGAAAGTTCAGAAAAGCAATTAGCCAGATTAAATAATAACCAGCTAATTATTTAGTGGCTGATGCAAGGATAAAACATTGATCTCATCTTTTATAAGAAAATTTGAACATACCAGCTTTACTTCATCTATTTTCCAAAAATCACTTCTTAAGATTCTCGGGGGGTAACTGTTCATTTCCTAGCATGATGCCAGTTCCGGTACCTTCCCTGGGACACTTCCTGAACCATGAGCAGTGGAATCCCAGGGCAGAAGCGGTACCAATGTTTGATTCCTTGTACATTGAGTCAAATTATATTCCCACTAACATAATTAGTTATGGTACAAGGTCAGGCTCAATTTTGATTCTGCCTTCTTAGGAGAGATGCATTACAAAGGCATTCTTCAATCAATGAATAGAGTATCCAAGCATGATTGGGATTTTCCCACTGAATATATATATATACATATATATTCCCCACTATATATAGACATATTTTTAAATGTTTTAGCTTAGCTAGGAAAATCCCCAAAAAAATGGTTCTGATGCTCTCTGCATCGCTATTTAGACCCAGGTCTGCACTTACTAGCTGTGTGCTTGGACAAATTAGTGAACCCTGACAAGCATCACTTTTCTAAACTATTAGATCAAGATGTTAATAGCCCATTTGTCATGCTCTTAAATCGAGGCTGTAGCAAGATCGTTAATCATGATAAATCATGAAAGTGTGAAGGCCAGAGACTGGCACATAACGATACAAGTTATTCTTATATCTCAGTAAATGTTTGCACTTTACTGTGTCAGATTTCAAATGACCTGACCAACCACAAGCACTTGATTAGGCAGCCCGAGTGGACTCTCTCAGAGTCCAGTCCATTTCCATTCTATGGGGTGAAAACACCTCGCAGGGCAGCGTCTGGGATAACAAGAGCCACTTAGCAAATGAGCCTCGAGGCAAGCAGTAAGTCTCAAGACAGAGCTATCACTTTACTCAATGTCCTGACTGATTCAATTGGGAGAAAAAAATGAAAATCTCATTTAAGAATTTCTAACGTAGTCCTTAGGACTTGCAAGATGGAGAACAAAGATGGAAATATTTGAAGCCCTTAAGTGTTCCCAGATGGCCTTCATTCCGGCCTGCCTCTGTGGTATCAGCTACCACGGGGTAGAGTTCTTCAGGCCTCTTAAACATACGGGGGCTTCTGCTGCCCCACAGAGAAAAATGTCCTTAAAAGGATTTAAGAAGCTCAATTTGAAAGAGCAAGCTACTAAGGTCATCTCTCAGTGACTAAAGCTCCTCGAACCCTACATCATGGACACCGCTAATAAAATCTCTGGTGTGGAAGTTTCCAGGACTCCACATGTTTTCTGGACTGTGGTCACTTTGAGGAGATCCCTACAGAACTCCAGTTCGTGAATTACCTTCAGGAGTCTGGGGCAGAACACAAGACTCGAGAGGGGGTGGGAGACTGGTGTTGGTTAGAACATAGGGGGGGTCTTATGACTTCTGGAACCGACCTCGGTTTCCTGGTGAGGGTCACTGGCCTGAGCCGGCTGCAGAAGGCAAGCTCCTTGGGGGCAGGGATTTTGAGTATGGGTCTATGCTGCTGGTTCTTGAGTATATAAAACAGTGCTTGGCACAGTAGGCACACAATAAGTAGTTTTGGAAAAATTCTTGGCGATTCCCAGGCAACTTCTCCAGGTATCTTTCTAGAGGCTGCCCTAGACCAACGTCTCCTTCCCCTGTGGGAGGCTGGCTTTCAAAGAGGCCCCACTTGACACCACAAACATTCTGCCGATGGTCAGTTATATGCACGGAGGCAGGAGCCCGGCCTCAAGCCCGAAGAGACCGGATGCTCACAGCCGCGCTAATGAAAAGCAGCAGGGACAGCCCTATGGCTCTGTCAGGTGGAAGACCCTCCCATGCTACAACCTCCTCAGTTATTTTTGTAAATCAATCGGGAATACCGCACCCCCCCCATCCTGTTCCTGCCTCTCAGCCATCAGATGCAGCTGTGCAGATAATAAGTTTTCTTCGCTGCTGCTTAGCGGATGGTGTCATTTTACCCATGGCTGCTCAAGTGTCTTTGGCCTCCAGGGCCCCTGAGCAAACGTCTAAACGAATAGAGTCTCCGCACTAGGAGCTCGTGCTTTCTCTTCCCCAGAGTGAGCTCTGGATCCGCTGCAGGTTAAGGCCGCGTGCTGGTCTGGAGTGGTGAGAGCCTCTATCTGTTCAGGCACCCGGAGAAGGGGGCGGAGAGCAGGGATCAGACTGCAACCCTCAGAGGCAGCTCCTAGTATAATTGGATCAGGCTGATTCAATCAAAGTAGGTGCCGTGGGATGTGAGCAGACAACAGCCCAAGGGAATAAAGCCTCCACACAGACGGACCATGACGTCCATCACAGACGGACCTTCCACAGGACGAAGGCCTTCAGTTAGGAGGACCAAGGTCCAAAGAGGTCAGGCATTTCCACGTTGGGTGGCCTGGGAGGACCCACGGGAAAGACCAGTGATCTGGAAAGCTAAAGTCCTGAATTCTGCTCCCAACCTTTGTTATTAATTCTTATGAGGAGCCAAGGCACTTCTCCTTGTGGGCCTCAATTTACCTATTTATAAAATAACCGCTGTCACTTACTTGAAAGCTTTTGTGTGAGAGTCATGTTTATGAGAGGGCTTGGAAGAGAATGAAATGTAGGACCATACAAACATAGGGGGCATGATTAGATGCTTATAAACCCACGGGCCTCCACAGTCATGAACCTTAGTTTAACTAAGCCTGCTCTATCCTGGGCGTGAAGTACTTCAGGCTCTTTTCTTTGTTTTTGTTGTTGTTGTTGTTTTTAAGTTTATTTATTTTAAGAGAGGAAGTGAGGGAAGAGGGGCAGGGAGAGGGAGGGAGAGAGAGAGAGAGAGAGAGAGAGAGAGAGAATCCCAGACAGGGTCCACACTGTCAGCGTGGAGCCCGATGTGAGCCTTGAACTCATCAACTGTGAGATCATGACCTGAGCCGAATCAAGAGTCGGAGGCTAGGGGCACCTGAGTGGCTCAGTCAATTAAGTGGCTGACTTCAACTCAGATCATGATCTCACAGTTCCTGAGTCTGAGTCCCATATCAGGCTCTGTGCTGACAGCTCGGAGCCTGGAACCTGCTTTGAATTCTGCCTCTCCCTCTCTCTCTGCCCCTCCCCGGCTCTCTCTCTCTCTCTCTCTCAGAAATAAACATTTTTCAAAAGTTTACAAAAAAGAGCTGGAGGTTTAACAGCCGCCCAGGGGCCTCCTTCAGGCTCTATCCTTACAGCCCTGGGGTGGTGGCAGGGGGTTGTGGGGGGTGGGGAATCTCTCTGAGAATAAGCACAAGCCACCCAGCCCCTCCCTCCCGTGGATGAAGACTCACAATCCAGCCACCTCCATCCGTGTCCATGTCACAGTACACCTGCAGGGGCCGGCTGGCATCACCGTGCAAGTAGATGGTATACAGACCACTGGCAACATTGCTGTTCTGCTGAACTTGACTGCAGTCAGAAGGATGCGGAAAACGGGCACCAACTGGGAGTCAAACAGAGAGACAGTGTCGTTAGGCAGAGGGCAAGGAAGAAGGAGGGGGCTAGTTTCCTAATTTAAGATAGTTTATTTTGTTTAGAAATTGTTTCATAACCTCCTACTACTTTGTTTCTTCCGACTCTTCACAAACATCTTATTTTTCTCACTCACCTGCTCTCATCAAACCTTTCAACTGTACTAGAAATAAGGTCAAGTTTATATCACTTCCTGCCCCGATGCCCTCAAAATAACATTCTGTTCTGCTCCCCTCTACAGTCTTTCTACCATGCGATGGATTTCGTTTGAACCCGTAACCCTGTTGCCCCATTTCCAGAGAAATCCATCACTGTCTGATCGCTCCCCCTTGGACAGCTTTCTTGGCTCTCCGGTGCTTGCCCTCTACCACATCATTGTTCAGAGAACGTTACCTGTGGAAAGGGTGGTAGACACGCTTCTGCTGCGGCGATCACCCTTAAAGGCAACCAAGGAGACTGGGTAGGCAATTCCCTGCTCAAGGCCTTGCAACTCAAGCCTCTCGTCCCCTCTTCCAAGCTGTACCTCCTACCAAACAAAGGAGGAAGTCATTCAGTGTGTCACCCCCAGCACCCTAGCTGTCAATAGCTTTCCCTGGTGCTAACGACAGGAGCTCTCTGAGAGCACAATGTTTGGTTTCTTTGAGGGCTCAGTGGTGCCCAGAATCCCAGGGGGTCCCCGCAGCTTCGCTGGGGGATGGTGCCATGGATATTCAGCCCTGCCGGGAGTGCTAGCAGAGAGCCGGCACCCGGGACTGTCCCTAGGGGAGCACCCACCAGGCCTCCTGGGACCCTCTGCCTCCAGGTACATGCTGGAACACCAACTACAGCCACTGAGGCCGGCGGTGCTGGGCTGACAAGTTAATGGGGGAAATAAAAGTGCCTGCTGATATCTGTGGGGCAGGGCCATCGCTGGCCCATCACTTCCTTCTGAACCTATCTTATTTCCTCTATAAACATAGGACTAACTTTCCTTGAAGTGCTGTCATAAGCAATCATGAGATAATGAATAAATCAAAGTGCCCTTCTTTTCCCTCTTCATCCCTTCTCTCTTGCCAACAAGAAAAAGGAAGAATTTTCCATTGGAACAAATTAACAAACACTTGCTGGCCTTCAGAGTCCAGGTGAGAGGGATAACTCTTGAAGTAAGGGTCAATTGATTCATTTAATAAATATTTAGTGAGAACATCTTGTGTGCCAGGTTCTAAGCGCGTTAGATACAATGATAGATATGACAGACAAATGTCCTTGGAACAAACGTTTACTGAGAAAAACACACAATGGAACAAAATAACGTGAGGTGGATGTGCAGCCAGCAAATACTCAACGGGTAGTGAGGAGCAGGCACAAAAGTTAGTCCTATAAAACGGGGCTACATGTACGATGTCAGGGGACAACTGTGTGAAGCAGCTTCCCTAACACAGCAGAGGATCAATAAGGCTCAATTCATTTCCCAGCCAGTCGCCATGACACCAGCAATCAGGCCAGTGGGCCCGGGGCGGTTGCTTCACTTAGAGGCTGGACAAGGGTACCAAGAGAAAAAGCAAGAAGTACCTTAACGGTGCCATCTGGGAATTGGTAGGTCAGAATGTAGCCATCGATCTGAGCAGAGGGGGACGTCCAGGTCAACACCCCTCCAGACTGTGTGACAGCAGATGGACGAAGGTTCTTGGGAGGGTCGATGTCTGTACGTAGAAAGTCAGGTAATTAGGACTACTCGGTATTTTTGCAACCGAGGCAAGATCATTTTTGATGTGTTAACATATTTTCTACCGACTTATCCCTCCCCTGTTCCGCCCTAGCAGCAGGTGTGGTCTCGGCTCTTCTTGGCCACCAGCCCCTTATGACCTTTGTTTCTAAAAGCACACTCCAGGGGGCGCCTGGGTGGTTCAGTCAGTTGAGCATCCGACTTCAGCGACTTCAGCTCAGGTCACAATCTCACGGCTGTGAGTTTGAGCCCTGTGTGGGGCTCTGTGCTGACAGCTCAGAGCCTGGGACTTGCTTCAGATTCTCTGTCTCCCTCTCTCTCTGCCCCTCCCCTGCTCATGCTGTGTCTCTCAAAAATGAACAAATGTTAAAAAAAGTTTTTTTTAAATAAAGGCACACTCCACACCCACTAAGACAAGGGGACTAAGGAAGGGGGAAGCGGGTGGGGCCCAGACAGAGCACCTCTGTGCTCCCAGTTTCCCCTCAGATTCTCCAGGAGGGGTGGGTAGCATCCAGATGAGCAGACAGATTCCCAGTGACTGCAGGGCTCCCGAAGTAGCCGGGAGTATGGATCTGAGAGCATCCTGTGTGCGGAAACTTGGTGTCCTGGCAAATACCTACTTGGGAAGATGACCGCAGAGCTGCCCGCCCCACGATGGCACTAGGAAACTACCCAAGACTACATACAGCAGAGGGGAAGGAGTGTGCCCCCTAAATCCGAGATACCCACCCACCAGCAGAACGGGAGCTTGTGATAAACATTAAGTTGGGACAGAAATACCAAGTTCTAGCTCCTACCTAACTAAATATGTGGCCTTAGATGCACACCCTGTACAGAAAGCACGGAGAAGGCGCGATGGTGGTGGTGGTGCTTGCGTAAAGGAGAGAAAGAGAGAGAGGGAAGAAGAGTCGGAGGAAAAGCAGAGGGAGGGGGAGTTGCGCACTCTGAAGATGGGAAAATGAGAGCAAGAATTCTAGTAAAAACCCTATTAATTGGGGGCGCCTGGGTGGCTTGGTCGGTTGAGCATCCGACTTTCGCTTAGGTCATGATCTCGCGGTTCGTGGGTTCGAGCCCCGCGTCGGGCTCTGTGCTGACTGCCAGCTCAGAGCCTGGAGCCTGTTTCAGTCTATGACTCCCTCTCTCTCTGACCCTCCCCTGCTCACGCTGTCTCTCCCTCTCTCTCTCCTAGAAATAAATTAAAAAAAAAAAACATTAAAAAATATTTAAAAAAAAAAACCCTATTAATTGGTCAGATGGGTCATTTTTTAAAGCCCAATAAGATATTGAGTGAAAAAATTCCATTTTGAAAAATCATCATAGAAGGTGATTTTAATTTAGAAGTTCCCAAAAAAGATGTCTCCAGGCTATTTTCTCCCCAGTAGCGATTCGGCCGAGAATGGAATTGCAATGTTTTAATAGAAATCAGGCAGCTGTTGTTTTTAATTAGGCTGTTTTGACAAATTTTGAGTTTCTGTAATATCAGCTCGGTTTGACTTTCTAAAGCGTAACATCTGGTATGGATTTTACTCTTTCCATCACACTGCAAAACTAAATTTCCTCCTTCCAAACATCAAAGCAAAACCTTAACTACTTAAGTATCTTAAGCTGGCCTCTTTGACTGCCCACCAATCCCTTGGTTATGGACTCGAGATATCTGAGTTACTTCCACATTTCTGCGAAGTAGAAAGATGGTAATATTGTTGTCTTTTTAAATTATTATTATTATTATTTGAGAGAGAGAGAGAGAGAGAGAGAGAACACATGCAAGCTCAGGAGGGGTAGAGGAAGAGAGAGAGAATCCCAAGCAGGCTCAGAGCTGTCAGCTCAGAGCCTGGAGCAGTGCTCTCGATCCCACAACCCTGGGATCATGCATGACCTGAGCTGAAATCAAGAGTTGGACGCTCAACCTCCTGAGCCATTGAGGTGCCCCTTATTATCTTTAAACATGGGAAGAGTGAGGGGCACCTGGGTGCCTCAGTGGGTTAAGTGTCTGACTTCGGCTCAGGTCATGATCTCATGGTTTGCGAGTTCAAGGCTTGCATAGGGCTATGTGCTTATGGCTCGGAGCCTGGAGCCTGTTTCAGATTCTGTGTCTTCCTTTCTCTCTGCCCCTCTTCCACTCATGCTCTGTCTCTCTCTGTCTCAAAAATAAACATTAAAAAATTCTTTAAATGGGAAGAGTGAGGCAAAGAGAATATAATGAAGGAACAGGGGAAGAAAGGAACGAGGGAGACAAAGCAAGGAAAGAGGGAGGGAGAGTAAAGGAAAGAAGGAAAGAAGAAGGGACTGGCTGCCCCTGGAGAACAGCACTGACTATTAGGGAATCTGAGCTATAGAAGAGATTTCTTTCTAAGTATTCCTTTGTTTAGTTTGAAGTTTTTTACTGTAAGCATACTTTACTCTTTTAATTAAAAACTCCTGCTAATTGTAACTAATAAAGAAATTCAGGGCACCTCTGACTCCAATGGCCACACATGGTGTCCCCAGGCACAGAGGGGATGGCCAGCCCTTGCCCGTACTGTCCAAAGAGACCCGAGGAAGTCAGGGTGGACCCAGGGATTTTCTCAGTCCCTATGAGGCCCCATCACACACATAAAACACAACAGTCCAGGCCCCTCTGATCACTAACTGGAGGGGGACGAGGAGGGGGAAAAGATGCTCCACCACTGCCCCCAACCTGGGAGGTGGAAACAGAAGCACTACCTTGCCTCCCTCTTCTCCAAACTGGAGATGAGGCCAACCCAGTTTTACCATCCAGGCAGAGAGCCCAGGAGCTGGGCAGGGTGGAGGGGTGCTGATGGAGGCTACTTCTGCACTACTGCCTGGAAAAGCCACACGCTTTGACATTCAAGCTGCCTCCTTGACATTTTCCTTCCTTTTTTTTTTTTTTAAGTTTATTTATTTTGAAAGAGAGAGAGAGAGAGAGAGCACACCAGTGGAAGAAAGGCACAGAGAGAGGGAGAGAGAGAATCCCAAGCAGGCTCTGCACTGCCAGCACAGAGCCCAACAGGTGGCTTGAACTCCTGAACCACAAGATCATGACCTGAGCCTAAATCAAGAGTCAGACACTTAACCCACTGGGCCACCCAGCCACCCCTCCTCTACACTCTCCTTAATCAGAGACGTCCTATCCACGTAAGGTAAAGAGGGGACCACTGTGAGGCATGTCCAGCTGAAACAACTGCCTTCCCTGCCCCCCTCCACACCCCTAGGTACACAGGACGACTTTCCTGATGGGTGTGCAGGGTCCCCTGTCCCAGGCCCTCACAGTACCTGTCAGGGCCATGGTGTCGGCCTTCTTGCTCTCCCGGGCCCCCTTCTGGGCCCACACCTGGACCGTGTACTCCACGCCCGGCCTCAGGCCCGTCAGCACGGAGCTGCTCTGGTCCTTACCCACAGGCAACTCCCCGGTGTCTCCATCAGCAGACGTGTAGCGCACCATGTACCTGTCGATGACGGCCTGCACCGGGTCCCAGGAGACGGTGGCCGTGTTCTCTGTCACCCGGTCAGTCACCAGGTTTATAGGGCTGTCAATGTCTTTTTAAAAAGGAAAGGCTGAATTTTAGAGCCAAGGGAGGTCATCCTACCTCCCGACCTGCCTCTAGGAGCTCTCCATGCAAGTATATTTAAAAATGATACAATTCTACCGAAACTAGGAGTGAAACCCCCCTGGTTTCCATTTTTCAGGGAAACAAACCACCGGTCATTAAAAATGGGAGGAATTAGATCTTCTCCAAGTTCGTCAATATGGAAATCTTCTGTCTCTCTCATTTCCACAAAAATAACACTAAAAGTTTCCTGAGCAACAAGACAAGCCACCCAAACTGCTGTTGGAACATCTCTTCTTTTTATCTCCATGGTATGCGGTTATTTCGTTTTACAGAGTCTCAGAGCTGAGATGGGAGATCCTCCAACCTTCTTGTCTCTTACAAAAGGAAAATGGAGGTCCAGAGAAATGAAAAGACTTGCCCAAGATCCTACCATCTCCCTGTGTTCAAACCCAGACAAGCCCCTCTCCGCTCTGGATTTTAAAGCCCCTCACCTTCTAAAGGATTCTGCTCCTTTTCATCTGCCCTCTCTCAGCACCATCAGCCTCTCCCGCTCTCCCGCCCCTCTGCACCCTTCAGGCGACAGACTTCTCAGAAGAGCGGTCAGCATGCCGCCACTTCAGTCCTCCCCTCCCCACTTCTCAGTTCAGTGAAGTTTGGCACTTTTCTACACCACGCCGCCAAAACCACTAGTATAGGTTACCACCAACCCCACGTTGCCAGATCCAACAGACACCCACCATCCTCACCTTCCTGGGCTTTTAAGCAGCATTTGGCAGAGCTGCTCCACTCCCTCTGTCTGAAAATGCTCTCAGCTCTTTACTTGTATGACTACGCCCTCCTCTGGTTTCCTCCTAACTGCCTGACTCCTCTTCGGCCTCCTCTGTCGGCAACCTGAAAACACTGGGGCACCAAGGGCCCCCCCTCTTCCTCTCTCTTCACTTCTCCTTAAGGGACCGCACCCATGTCCATGGCTTCGAATGCCAACCAACACTCTCGGCTCCCTGGTATGTGAGCCTCTGGCTTGCATCCACAGCCACGTATCCACCACAGCACCTAGCCCATGTTGGATGCTAGCCCAATATTTGTGGAATCGATGAATAAATCTTAGCCACAGAATCTCAAAAGTTTCTCCAGCTTCAGTGTCTAAAAGTCTTAACATTCCTCCCCGAGCCTATTTATCTTTCAGTCTCCCATCTCAGAAAACGCCAGAAACCCAAGTCATACCTGGTTCATTTTCTCACTGCCCCACACCTCACACATCAACAAATACTGGCATTCATACCTCCAAAATATGTGTGGAGATATCCCATCTCCCCTTTCCCAATGGGCATCACTACCTCTTGCCAGGATTTTACACTAGGCTCCTCATTAACCCTCCTAGCGCTACTCTTTTCATATCCCCTGTGTATTCTCACTGTGGCCTGAATAATCTGTTTTAAACAAATATGGCACCGTGTTGCTCTTCTTGTAATAAATTTAACACGCTCCTTCCTTCAGGCACATGGGGTCCCTTGTGAGTGGCCCTGCCTCCTTCCCACCTGACCTGTGCCACTGCTTCTCTAGCCGTCAGTGCTCTAGCAACACCAGCCCCCATCTGTCCTGCAACCATCTCAGTGGCTGCAGCTTACAGCCGTCAGGCACACTCCTCCCTCAGCCAGAAAGGGCTATTTTCCCCCAATACCCACCATCCCCTTCCTCCGTTAGCATACTGTCCGATGGATCTCTCTGCAGTGATGGAAATATTCCGCTCTGTCCAATACAGTAGCCATTAGCAGCATGGCTATGGACCATCTGAAATGTGGTCATTTCAGCATTTAAAGCATCCAGCTTTAAAAATAATTTACTTTTAATTCATTAAAATTTAAGTCGTCACAGGCAGCCAAGGGCTACTGAGTCGGATAGGGTGGTCTGACAGAAGGGTAAGGCAGGCATGCACTCATCCAGCTGAAGACTTCGGTTCCCAGCCTTTCCATGGTGACGTCTGGCACCGTGTCTAGGGTCTAGCCAGCGGGACATGGGAAGAACTGAAGAACGTGTGCAGTGTTCTGGTCGTGCCCTTCCCTTTCCTGGGTCCCTTTCCACTGCTGGAATGAGGACGGATGATGACCGTACAGATGAAGGCAACCCCCTAGGGATGTGGGCACAGCAATACCAAAGGGGTCGGGCTCTCCTATGCCAGGGAGCTACCTCACCAGCCCTGGCCCATTTCCACTCTGCCCATTCCACAAGAGAAGAGTAAGCTTCTTTCTTGTTTAAGCAAACGTTATTTGGCTGTTTCCATTGATGTGTCTCTTAACCATTACTCATCCCATCCCATCTAAGAAACATCCCTACCTTGTTATTCTTTCTACCTGCACCATGTTCCTCTCCTTCATAGAACTTATCATAATTTACAGTTTTGAGTTGGTTTCCTTGTTGGTTGTCTGTCTTTCCCACTGGACTGTAAGGGAGTAGGAATCATATATATCTTGTTCGCCACTGGATCCCAGGCCTGGCACTTAGAAAATGCTCATCAAAATTTAGCTATATATTGAAATGAACACACAGCTCTGACCGCCAAGGAAACACTCGTTCCTCTAAACTATATACCATCTATTAAGCCAAACCTACATAAAACAGCTTGCCACAAAACTGTTCTCCAATACAGTGCTTTTTTTCGGAATTTTATGTTGTTTTTACCTTCCTATAATTTCTTATCACTGAGTAGAGCTGTTATAACACAAGCCTGGGGAAAGAGTTTTCAGACCTTCACAGAACTGCTCGGTATGGACACCATAACTGTGGTTGGATTTATTTTTTCTCATAAGAGAATGAGATTTTTTACAGCAAACTTTCCTAAAATAGTCCCTAAGTCACAGACCCCAAAAGCTTTACGGGCATAATTCAGCAGCAGCAGAATGACCCCACCAATGACCCCAGTTTCTGTTTTCCTCCCTCCTGTTACCTGTCGGAGCTGTGGTGTCGGCCTTCTTGCTCTCCTGGGCCCCCTTCTGGGCCCACACCTGGACTGTGTACTCCACGCCCGGTCTCAGGCCCTTCAGCACGGCATTGCTCTGGTCCTTTCCCACCGGCACTTCCCTGGTGTCTCCATCAGCAGACGTGTAGCGCACCATGTACCTGTCGATGACGGCCTGCACCGGGTCCCAGGAGATGGTGGCTGTGTTTTCTGTCACCCGGTCGGTCACCAGGTTTTTGGGGCTGTCAATGTCTAAAAGGAAAAGTACTCATCAATGTGCACTAGTAATAGGCCACAGAGTGCAGACACTCACATTGTTTCGCTTGGAGTAAGGACCTTTCGTGTTACGTGGTCTTTACATCACTTATGCTCTAACTGCTTCATTAAGGTATGTCTTCTCTCCCCAGACAGAGCTGGGCTCCTCAAGCAGAAAGCACAGTAAACCAAAATCTGCAAATCTACACTGTTACCTTTACCAAGAGTGTAGCAACACAAATCTCATTATGTATTCTGTAAACGTATATCAAACTCTCATTATGTACAAGGATGGTGTTACATGGCGGGCAGGTCCAGTTGAAGAAGACACAGACCATGCTCACAGGCAGTGATAATTTTGTTTCTAGCATCATGTCAATGAAGACCTCTGATTTCATCCAAGATGATTCTAATAACCAGATACAAATGTCAGCTCCTAGAGGAAGAGGGCCATGACCATATCTCCTATGGGTCACCACAGCCTCGTAGAGAACAGAGCACATGGGAAATACCCCACACACGTTGTTGAATGGATCAGCCAAATGAAGACCAGTTTTAGTATGCTTTACACATCATGAATTCACTTGCAATGCTGGTTTTCTGGTTAAATTACTCCAGAAACATGGCCAAACATCTCTTTCCCAATAAAATTAGAATAGAACACTGAAGTTATCCTCAAAACCAGATTATCAAGATTCATTCATGCTAAAGCACACCACATGGATCTACTTGCTCTGGTAGATGTAAGGTCTACTTTGTAAAGCTGAGTTATCCACATATTATTATTTAATAATATTAACGTTTGATTTTCATTTTCTCCTCCCACTCAGAACACAATGACGGACCCTTACTAGTGTCCACAGTGAAATATTCATGCACTCAGAGGAGGAGTAGCTGGACATAGCCATCCAATCACGGCAAAATTGTACTTTGGAAACTGCCACACAGGCCTGATTTGTAAGGAAACAGTTAAAGGAAAGGGAGGGATGGCGTGTGCAGTCTCTTATGAAAGGACACTATCCTGCTCTTCCAAAAATCATTGATTCTGCCAGTGTCAAAGCAGGAAAACAACCCTTGACCAGCCACAGACTTAGGTCTTTCATTCTCAAAGAGCAATGTTCCATTACCTGTCGGGGCTATGGTGTCGGCCTTCTTGCTCTCCCGGGCCCCCTTCTGGGCCCACACCTGGACCGTGTACTCCACGCCCGGCCTCAGGCCCGTCAGCACGGCGCTGCTCTGGTCCTTCCCCACTGGCACCTCCCCGGTGTCTCCATCAGCAGACGTGTAGCGCACCATGTACCTGTCGATGACGGCCTGCACCGGGTCCCAAGAGACGGTGGCCGTGTTCTCTGTCACCCGGTCGGTCACCAGGTTTTTGGGGCTGTCAATTTCTTTAAAAAATATATTTGGAAAAGCCTAAGCTTTGAAGCCATGGAAGAGACACCCACCACCCCATCACTGTCATTTTCATCTTCTGGAACTCTCCTAGCACAAGGCGATGGTATTCCCCTTCAGAATCTGCTGGGAGTCAAGAGAGGAATGAACCCCCAGTTCCCAATTTCAAAAGGCTACTCATGCTAAGCTTACTATACTCTTTTGGCTTTTAGCTCCCTAAAATGTGGGAGGAACGCCGTCTTCTTAACAACATAATGGCACATCACGACAATCATTAAACATCTGCCAGGACGTTAAGGGTGCCTAATTTATCGTCTTATCAAGGGCTACTTCACAGGCAATCATTCTATAAGTATTATCACAAGCATCGCAATGATCAGGGCCTACAAACATCTTTGCTGAGTCCGCTGAAAACATGGCCAGGGCACAGCTTTACTTTGCCTTTCTCGTGGGCTGAGCGGTTTTGTGAGCAGCTCACCACAACCAGGAACAGTGAGAGCGACCAGCCTTCGCCTCACTGAGATCACTCCTAGGACTCACTGTCTTTTTGGATCTCTGTGACTTTCTTTGCAAACTCTCTCATCTCAGACCACATCCTGGGTATCATGCACACTCAAATCCACAAGCTCAAAATTCAATTCTGGTTGATCTTTTTCTTATTACCTGTCGGGGCCATGGTGTCAGCCTTCTTGCTCTCCCGGGCCCCCTTCTGGGCCCACACCTGGACCGTGTACTCCACGCCCGGCCTCAGGCCCGTCAGCACGGTGCTGCTCTGGTCCTTTCCCACCGGCACCTCCCCGGTGTCTCCATCAGCAGACGTGTAGCGCACCATGTACCTGTCGATGACGGCCTGCACCGGGTCCCAGGAGACGGTGGCCGTGTTCTCTGTCACCCGGTCGGTCACCAGGTTTGTTGGGCTGTCAATGTCTGAAAGGAAAGTTAAAGCGAACCATTAACAAGCACCAAAGAGTGAGACCTTATTGCTTGAAGGGAGGCAGTTTCCTGTTCTTAAAATTTTCCCATGTCCTATGTCAGTTTTCAACTGTTTCATGGGGACAGACCCTGTCTCCATGGCTGGACTCTTGGATCCTCAAGAAGGCAGCACAGGACAATGGAATGAGCATGAGTACCCAGAATCAGAAGAGCTAGGTTGCAGTTCCAGCCCAGAGATACAGAGCATAGGGGCAGGAAAAGCCCTGAGAGAGCCAACAGACCAGGGATGTAGGCCCAGCTCTGCCATCAGCCAGCCGTGGTCCGCCCAGTATGGCTGCCCCCAGCTGAGCCTCAATTCCTTCTTTGTAAAATATGGGCCTTACTAAATAGATTCAAAGGTACCATAATGTTCAATGAATATTCCACAAATCTGACTCCATGAATCATCAGCTGACTTTGTGACTTGTAAAAATCATTCACTTCTTTGTATTTGAGGTTTCTTAACTATAAAATGGGGATATTGATTCCTGCTCTACCTATCTCACCAAATGCCTCTGAGGACCAAGCAACTAAAGAATATAACCATCATCCATTGCTGTTGGGCATGTAAAATAGTCCCACCACTCAGGGAATAATTTGGCCATTCTTCAAAAAGTTAAACATAGAATTATCATACGACCCAGCAATTCCATTCCTAGGTATATACCCAAATGAATCGAAAGCATATGTCCACACAAAAGTTTGTACACAAACACTCATAGTATCCTTATTCACGATAGCCAAAAAGTGGGAAAAGCACAAATGCTTATCAATTGACAAATGGATAAACAATGTGTTACACCCACACAATGGAAATAATATTATTTGGTAAGAAAATAAAGTACCTACACATGCTCCAACGTGGATAAACCTTGAAAATATTATGTGTAGTTAATAAAGCCAGTCATGAAGGGCCACATGCTGTGTGAATCCACTTATACGACATGTCCAGAATAGGGACATTCCATCTCTACAGAGACAGAAAGTAGTAGTTTTCTAGGCCGGGGAGGAGTGGGGGTGGGGAGGCACTGCTAATGGACATGGGGTTTCTTTCTGGAGTGATGAAAATTTTCTGATTAGATAATAGTGATGGTTGCAGAACTGTAAATATACTAAAACCCACTCAACAATATGCTTTAAGAGTACATTTTATAGAAAGTAAATTATATCTCAATAAGTCTGTTCTTAAAAAATGAGGACACAGAGATGAATAAGCTTTAAAAATGATGAACTGTTACAGGATGTAAGTGCAACCTTAGGATCCTGAGAATGGAGCACATGGTGCTTCAGAGAGGATTTATTCTCTAAGAAAACAATAACCCTTCCTTACTTCAAAGAGATAAGAGTAAAAAACCACTTCCCTAAAGTACTAGGCTCACTGATCCTAATATACATGGTTTGTTTATATCTTTTCCCTTTCAAGACAAAACATTTCAATGATTGAGCATAAATCGGAGGAAGAGTGGGTAGATGGGACCAATCACCATCTATCTTTATAAGACCAAAGTATGAGGCCAATATGAGCTCCTTATTTGGAGGTAATGTGCAAAAGGAAGGTGAGACATGGTGAATGCATCTCTAATGAAGGGACACTATCCTGCTCTTCCATAAACCATCTTCCATAAACCATCAAAGCAGGAAAACAACTCTTGACCAGCCATAGGTTTAGGTCTTACATTCTCAAAGAACAATGTTCCATTACCTGTTGGGGCCGTGGTGTCAGCCTTCTTGCTCTCCCGGGCCCCCTTCTGGGCCCACACCTGGACCGTGTATTCCACGCCTGGCCTCAGGCCCATCAGCACGGCGCTGCTCTGGTCCTTCCCCACTGGCACCTCCCCGGTGTCTCCATCAGCAGACGTGTAGCTCACCATGTACCTGTCGATGACGGCCTGCACCGGGTCCCAGGAGACGGTGGCCGTGTTCTCTGTCACCCGGTTGGTCACCAGGTTTGTTGGGCTGTCAATGTCTGAAAGGAAAGTTAAAGTGCACCATTAACAAGCACTGAAGAGTAAGACCTTGTTGCTTGAAGGGAGGCAGTTTCCTGTTCTTACAGTTTTCCCATGTCCTATGTCAGGTTTTCAGTTGTTTCAGGGACATAGACCTTTCCACAGCCAGACTCGTGGATCCTCAAGGAGGTAGCACAGGACAGTAGGGTGAGCAGTAGATCCAGAGTCAGAAAAGCTGTGGCCCTGCACATCTCAATGGTCTCTGGCTGGGCCTCAGCCTCATTACCTGTAAATCTAGGGTTCAGGTTGGACAGACTTTACAGCTTCTTTGAGAACTAATGTTCCATGCATACATCTAATTTCATAAATTACTAACTTGTTTCACGACCTTGGACAAGTCACCTCACTTCTATGCATGGATAAAATAGGACTGTTAATAGTTATTGTACATATCTCACTGGGTGGCTCTGAAAACCAAGACAAAAAATATCATATAAAAAGGGGCCTTGAAAATATTGAGGTATTACAGTGTCTACAGAATAAAAAAAGCAGGACAAGATAATACTTGTGTATATCCTGGAGACTAGCTGTATGAAATGAGTTAATATGTCCTTTGTGACAATTTGTGACAATTCTTGACACAGAGTGGATGCCCAATGACCATGGGCTATTATTGATATCACCTTGCTGATATTTTATGAATGAAGAAGATTATGGTCCTCCATACTACACACAGAGAAGGTATTCAGAAATGCAGTCACCAAGAAATAATAGCATATCTTTGTTCCAAATAGTTCAATGCAAAAATCATTTCCCTAAAGTCTTTGCTCCTAGGTCATGTCACATTTGTACAATGGAATGTTCAGGCAGGACTCCCCTAACTTGGTTTGGGCTGTGACCCCAAGAAAACTGGAATCTACATTCCGGCCTGAAAGCCCACAGTCAAGGTAGGACCAACAGTCTTGTGGCCCTTGGATGACCAAGTCATCTTCAGACAATGAAAGAGGTTGGAGAGGCCAAAGGGGTGGGACTTCAAGGGTGGATTTCTTTGGGCAGAGTTACACTGAGTTTCATGGGTGAGACCCAAACCTCAAATGAGCAAGTGTTCTCAATCAGGGATGATTGTCAATATCTGGAGACCTACTTGGTTGTCACAACTCATTATGGGATGAGGAGGCTACTGGAGTCTAATGGATAGAGGCCAGGGATGCTGTGAAACACCATACAGTGCATTAGACCAATCCCTGCAACAAATAATTATCCAGCTGAATATTTCAGTAGCGCCAAGGCTGAGACGCTCTGCCCAAGGCTTAGGGAACACTGTAGGCTGGTATCTGACAGGTTTCTAAAATATCTAAGAGGTGAGAGTGTGGCCATTTGCCCTGATGGAGAGCATTGCAAAAGAACTATGTATCTAGTTGAATGGATAAAGGATGCCTGCATGTTCCCTGTGGACCAGATGTGGCCCAAGGAAAGACGAGCCCACCGGGATTGTTTTAGAAGCTGTCCACGCCGCTCAGCCTAGGGTTGAGGTGACGCCACCTGAAAGGCACTGGAGTGCACCCCACGTGTGTAAGCAGAGGAAGGGGAGTAGGTGACCAGCAGGAGAGATGCATCTGTCACAGGATCACAATGAAAGCTCAGAGTGCAAGAGGGTCCCTGAAGAAGTGCTCCATGAGGGAAACGTTAGCTTTAACACTTGTCAGGTCCCATTACAGGCCCAGGGCAGCTGTGACGGTTGCAGTCAGGCAGGACCCTTTACCTCTGTTCCTCCTGACCCCTGGCCTCTCTCCAAGCTGTACCAAACATAAATGGGCCCAAAACTACAGTGAGCATGCTAGAGGGAGGGTGTCTGAAGTACAAGGGAAATTTAAGAGCAGCCCAGCAGGCTCCTTCCCATCACAGATAGTTAGCCTGAAAATGGCCCAAGCTGGTGGACAGGAGAAGACTTAACTTTAAATGAAGTATTGATATAGACATTTTAATTACTACAGTGATACATGTTGAGGACTAAAAATGACTAGATACTTGCTGATTTTTAGCTAACAGAGCATTGTTATTATTTCTGCCTAAAACATTCATCCAAAGGGCAGAAACAAAAAACAAGCTCCACAGAAAGGGTTTAAACGGCTGAGGAGGGAAAACAAAGTTGGCTTGGGATCCCGGTCGGGCACCCCCACCTGGAGGGCACTTGTGCTCTCATCATGTTTTGTCGGCATCAGGTGAGGCACTTGGCGTGTTCACAGCACAGAAGATGTACAGGCAGAGAACAAAGGACTACGAGCAATACTATCAATCTTTAGAGACCAAAGTTTGAAGACCACAGGATGAGCTGTGCGCTCTATGAGAAGCCATCAAATGGAAGTAAGGTGCACAATGAACTCCACAAGGACACCACTGCTCTCCGTAAAACTGCCCTTTCTGCCAAGGTCACAGAAGGAAAACCCACTGAAACAGAGGGATGATGTTACCTGTCGGGGCCGTGGTGTCAGCCTTCTTGCTCTCCCGGGCCCCCTTCTGGGCCCACACCTGGACCGTGTACTCCACGCCAGGCCTCAGGCCCATCAGCACGGTGCTGCTCTGGTCCTTTCCCACCGGCACATCCCCAGTGTCTCCATCAGCAGACATGTAGCGCACCATGTACCTGTCGATGACGGCCTGCACCGGGTCCCAGGAGACGGTGGCCGTGTTCTCTGTCACCCGGTCAGTCACCAGGTTTGTTGGGCTGTCAATGTCTTTAAGAGAGATGAAAGAATGTAGCATTTACCAACTCTCTAGTTCCAGAAAGGCCAATGTGTACACCGACAAAATGATGATCTCAACAGATTTCAGAGTCTGTTATATGCCAGTGATTGGGATGACTTAAGGGTTTAATTAAGCAAGTGGTCTGAAATTCCAAGAATGAGCTAATAGCATGTAAGCGACGTAGGGTTTTCAGGCAAAGCCAAAAATAGCTTCAGCTCTATAAACTTTACCCACAAGTAGACTTTGGATTTAAAAAAAAAAATTGGTCTTCATATACAAATTTCTCCATTACCCTGGATTTATATAATATACTCTTTCAGCTCCTGACTCCCTGTACCTGAAAGCAATTATATTTCAGTAAGTCTCTGCAGTGGCTCTAATGTTTTCTTTGGGGACAAAAATATCCTGAAAGTAGGAGCTGTTAGGTCTTTCCATATTAAAACATTATGCCTATGGCTTAATCAGACTTCAACTGATGGTCTTTGAGGTCTGGGCTGATAAATATATATATATTTATAAATATAATATATATATTATATATATAGTAGGATATATATATAGTAGGATATATATAATGGGATCCTATATATATATATATATATATATCTCCTACTTGCAGAATCTGTCTGGGTTTCAATGCAGTTCAACTGGGTTGGCATCTGGGCTCTGCCATTTCCCAGTTGCTGACTTTGGACAGTCTCTCCAAATTTAAGTCTCCGTCTCCTCATCTCCACAAAGAGGGAATTGCCAGAACCTACCTCACAGGTTGTGGCAAATCACAGAGGAGATATTCACATGGCAAATGCTTGAATATAAGCTCTCTGTTATTAGGAGTCTCACTCGAGACATGAAATTCCCCCTCTCTCCTTAAAATGTGAACCTTAGAGTCAGAAATCCAAGTAGTTGGGTACATGACTTGCAATGCCTTATGATCCTGGGTTTTTTTTGTTTTGTTTTGTTTTGTTTTGTTTTGTTTATTTTCTGAGACAGAGAAAGACAGTCCATGATGGGGCCAGGGGGAGAACAGAATCTGAAGCAGGCTTCCAGGCTCTGAGCTGTCAGCACAGCGCCTGACACAGGCTCGAACTCAACCACGAGATCTGAGCCAAAGTCGGACGCTCAACTGACTGAGCCACCCAGGCGCCCCTATGATCCTGTTTTAAAAACCACCTACTCAAAACGGCTGAGCTTTCTGTGACAGTAACTGCATCTCACACCCATGCCCCATCGCTCGACACACATGGCCAGGCCAGCTGGGCACAGCACACAGCCAAGGAGACAACCTGTCTTGAGGAGCTCAGAGCTCTGAAAGTTCTAAAGACAGAGGACACACAAGGAGGACTTTCATTCTGGGATTCAGAGCTGGCTTCGATGCTGCAGCCTCATCCTTCATGACTCCACTCTGTCTACCACCACCGCCACTTAAGATTGCTAAGAGACTTGGATATTAAAAATAAGAGAAAACCAACCCATCCTATCCTTACACCTTATGCCTTATGCTATTCCCGCTGCTAATGCCCACCCATCTGACTAACTCCTGTTGAGGTGTCTCCTCCTACAGACTGCCGTCACCCCCTCTCCCATCCCAGTCCCTGGTAAGTGCCCTTTTTTTTCTGGTTCCCATGGTTCCAGAGACATCTGTTTGCTCTAGAAATAATATAACTCACTGCACTTTATCTTTTTTACTTGTCTTCTCTACCCAGACATTTGTGGATGTCAGGAGCATGAACCATTTCTAGTCTCTCTGTACCCCGAGAGCCTAGCTCTGTGCCTGACACTGCCGGCAACACCACGCCCCTGGGGCTCCCAGGAAGCTGAGGTGCTAACTCATACCACCGCCACCTGAGAGAGGGGAAGATTCTTGTCTATTCCAACTTCCACCATCTTAAAAAGACTGACCCACGGGCCACCTTTTCACAACACTCAAAATCCTAGAACACAGAAAACTTTGTGTAATATAAACCAGGAGTTGGCAATTAACAACCCATGGGCCAAGTCCGACCCACTGCCTATTTTTATAAAGTTTCGTTGAATACAGTCTTACTGGTTCATTTACATACGATCTACGGCTGTTTTCGCATTTCAATGTCAGAGCTGAAGAGTTGCATCAGAGACTGCAAGGTCCCCAAAGCTGAAAATAGGGACTATCTGACCCCTCACAGAAAGGGTGCCGACCCCTCACTAGAAAGTCTGCTAGTTTAAACAAATCTAGATCTCACCATCCTTACTGGCAACTTCTCCTTTCCCTAGAGGAGATACGGCCCACTTGGACCCAGGAGGCTACAAGTCATTAAATACCTCGAGGGCTTGGCACACCTGGGCAGCTCAGTCCATTACACATACCAATTCAGACCAATTCTTGGTCTCAGCTCGGTTCATGGTCTCACAGTTCATGGGTGCAGGTCCCCCTGCTAGCACAGAGCCTGCTTGGGATTCTCTCCCTCCCTTTCTGCCCCTCCTTCACTCACGCTGTCTCTGTCTCTCTTAAAATAAACTTTAAATAAATAAATGAAACCTTCAAGGGTTGAATGCTGCTTAGCATTTGCTATGGGCTGAATATTTTGTCCCCCCTCCCACTTACTCCTATGTTGAAGCCCTAACCCCCAATTTGCTGGTATTTGGAGGTAATTAGGTTGAGGTGAGGTCATGGGGTTGTGTTCCCATGGGGGCACCAGTGTCCCATAGGAAGAGACCTGAGTTTCTTTTCTCTGCCCAATAAGGGTGTAGGAAGAAGGTGTCCATCTCTAAGCCATGAAGAGGGTTCTCACCAGGAACTGAATCAGCCAGCGCCCAGATCAAGGGGCTCTCCGGCCTCCAGAATTGTGAGATATAAACCTCTTCTGTATAAGCTCCCCAGTCTACGGTATTCCGTTATAGAAGCCCGAGCAGACTAAGACACGTTCTAAGGAATAATCACTACTACTGTTCACACAGCCCTTGCCGTGCATCGGGCACTTACATGAATTCACTCGTGTAACCCTCACCACAACCCTTTGTTGTAAATACTCATATGCCCCATTTTACAGACAGGCATGTGAGGAACAGAGGTCAGCTGATTTGCCCAAAGTCACTCAGCTAGTAAATGGCAGAGCTGGGATTAAAACTTGGACAATAAATCTTCCGAAACCACATTCCTAACTGCCAGCTTCCCTGGGTACCTCTGTACTGTGTGACTGTCCAGAACAGAGCCCAGGGAGTAAGTAGATCCTTTTCTTTCTTTCTTCCTTTCTTCCTTCCTTCCTTCCTTCCTTCCTTCCTTCCTTCCTTCCTTCCTTCCTTCCTTCCTTATGTTTTATTTATTTCTGAGAGAGAGAGAAAGAGAGACGGTGTGAGCAGGGAGGGTCAGAGAGAGAGGGAGACACAGAATCTGAAACAGGCTCCAGGCTCTGAGCTGTCAGCACAGAGCCCAACGCAGGGCTCGAACCCATGAACCGTGAGGTCATCACCTGAGCCGAAGTTGGACGCTTAACCAACTGAGCCACCTGGGCACCCTTTTCTAGGATCCTTTTCTAGGATTCCTGTCAAGAGCGTGAAACCTCAAGGCCTCCAGGATTAGACTGCTCTGGACTTGGGGACAGTGCCCATAGAGGGTTTGAGCATGAATGCCCCCATGGCCTCAGGACATGTGCAAACTCGAGCTGGGCCAGGAACAGCTGGGTGAAGTATGGGGGCTCTTATGGTTTCTGAAAGCTTAAAGGCAGAATCGGTACATTTGGTGACTGTTGACTCAGGATGCAAACCATTTCCACGGTCTGAAAGAGAGCTCCAGATTATAAGCAAAGTGCCTTTTACAGCTGCTGCAAACTGAGATAAGCCTTCAAATTCACTGTCAGCCAAATGTTTTGAGTCTTAACATCCAAAAAAAAAAAAAAAAAATGAAAATTAGGAAGTGTTACTCTTCTCTGAGAGAGTTGCATATGGAATTCTAACCCAAATAAGTATGACCTTCTGTGTCACGTAGAAAGGCTGGTCTCTTTGTTTTGAAGTTAAAAGGGGAAAAATGATACTTGTGAAATGCAAAATTGCTTTTGCAACCCCCTTCGCTACCCCTACAAGCAAAAGGCTGATATGCTAGGTGGGCATCGGCCTCCTGATTCAAAACTCAGCCTTCTCCCCACTGTGAGGAAATCCCCATTACCTGTGAGGGCCTTGGTGTCGGCCTTCTTGCTCTCCTGGCTGCCCCTCTCGGCCCACACGTAGACTTTGTACGCCTCCCCTGGCTTCAGGCCCGTCAGGATGGTGCTGCTCTGCTCGCTGGGCACCGCCGTGTCCCTGGTGTCCCCATCAGCTGAGGTATAGCGCACTACGTACTTGTCTATGACAGCCTGGACTGGGGCCCAGGAGACCACCGCTGTGTCTTCTGTCACTCGGTCAGTGACCACGTTGGTTGGGCCATCAATTTCTTCATAAAAAATACGTGAGGAAAAAAATTAGAGAAGGCATTTGGCTGGTGGAGATCACAGGTGCTTCAAGATCTAGTTCATCCAGGTGACCTAGTTCTATGGTCCACACAATGTAAGAGGGTGTCTCCATCATGTGTGACAGGTGGACATCTGGCCTCTGCCTGAACCCTAGGCTGAGAAAGGGCTCCCTGATGGATCAAACAATACCTTCCATTGTGAGACCACTGAGCATGTTAGACAGGAGTCCTGCAAATGTAGTCACCTGAAATGGAACTGCTTCAAGAGGCATGTGGAATATACCTCATGCTTCTTCTGGGAGGCCCTCCAGCAGGTGTTCAAGAATAGTTACCATTCTCCTTCCTCATTCTCCTCAAATCAAAACAGCTTCACCTATCCAAAGTATGTATTTGCAAGTTATTAATTTTTATCTCATTATATCATATCATGCCATATCATATCATATCATATTACACTTCCATATTATCCTTTCTAGACCTGGCACTTACATCTGGATGTGCTCCTTTCTTTCCCTGATCAAAGAAAAATCCCCAAAACTCAGTCCATTCCTTCAACAATCCACTCACCATCCATTTCATGTCAGGAATATAACGGCACTCAAGAGTCACCAAAGAGCAAAACCATCAGAAATCCCTGCCTATGCAAGATAATGTTCTAGAAGGACCAACCAAAAACAATACGCCCCTCCATGTCCTAGACACAGTTCCCTCAATAATGTAACTGCAGCCCACAACCTCAGAAAATCCCTACACTTTTCAACACGTGTCCCTGCTAACCCAGGGGCTCTCAGCCTTTGCCAACATTGGGCACCTCCTTAGTACCACCTCCAGAGAGCTCATTTCAGAAGGTCTCAGATATGTGCTGACATCTCTGCTGAAAAAACAAATAAGCAAGATCCTGATGCACAACTCCCGGTATTGAGAATCCCACATTGAGCCACATCTTCTCCATTTAAGATGCATATAGAATACATCTCCTGAGCCCAATGTTTATTCTTGTTATAGTTCACCTTATGGACTTCATTTATAATTTAGTCTTTCACTCAACATGCTGATTTTCCTTTCTAGCTTATCATTTACAAACCTAATAGGTAAGCAGCCGAGTGTAGCATCCGTTCAAGGTCACTGATAAGGGTGCTGCACAGAAAGAAGCTGAGGCTTGGCCCGAGAGCCCTCCCTACATGCAGATCTAAAGCCTTTCAGATGAAGACATACAAAACAGGTTCCTCCTCCCAGAAACTTAAGCAGCTCTGCTTCCTCCCCATCCCACCCTGGTTCTTGTGGCCCAGGGTCCTCCCACAGAGAAGTCCCGACTCTCCAAAGCTGCATTTTTTTTCACCTCGACTAGGATCCCCTTTCTCGAGCAAAATGGCAGTGACTTCTCTGTGTGCGAGGAAATGAAATATGTTCCACCACCAGACACAGTGCCTATTTAATTTAATAAACCAACTGTTATCGATTGAGTGTATACTAAATGCAAGGCATTTTTCACACATTACCCTATCAAACCTCATGCTAACAACCCATGGCATTTATCAGATTCCCCATGTCCTAGTTTGGAAAATAAATAATAGTTACCATTTTTAGAGCATTAGCGATAAAAACCAGGCTCAGAGAGGTTAGATAACGTTGCCAAGGTCACTCAGCTGGTAAATGATAGTCACTTACACATTGTACAAATGTTCCCTGAGTACCTAGTTGGGGCTGGGAATTCAGTATAACTCAGTTATTCCTTTTTTAAAAATTTTCTCTAATGTTTATTTATTTTTTGAGAGAGAAAAAGAGATACAGTGCAGCAAGTGAGGGGCACAGAGAGACGGAGACACAAAACCCGAAGCAGGCTCCAAGCACAGAGCCCAACATGGGACTCAAACCCACAAACCTCAAGATCATGACCTGGGCCAAAGTCATATGCTTAACTGACTGAGCCACACAGGAACCCTAGTTTAACTCAATTATAAATTAAAGCCTGCCTGCCGGGAGCCTGCTTCGGATTCTGTCTCCCTGTCTCTCTGCCCCTCCCCCTGTTCGCCCTCTGACTCTCTCTCTCTCTCTCTCTCTCTCTCTCAAAAATAAATAAGCACTAAGAAAATTTTTTTAAGTGTGCCCACCCCCCCAAAGCTATGTCATCGTGCTAATACTCAGTACCTCAGCATGAGACCTTACTTGGAAATCGGGTCTTTCTAGAGATAATCAGGTCAAAATGAGGCTGTTAGAGTGAGCCTAATCCAGTATGACTGGTGTCCTTCTGAAAGGGGGGTCTGGACCCACAGACACAGACACACAGACACACGAAGACGATATGAAGAAACACAGAGAGAAGCCGGCCACATGCCTAGAACACTCCGTCTATAAGCCACAGTTCAACAAGGATTGCCAACAAACCGCTGAAGCTACAGAGGTGAGGAAGAACCCTCCCCTACAGCTGTCCAAGAGAGGGTGGGGCCCTGCAGACACCTTGCTGTCAGACTTTGAGCTTCCATTGCTGGGAGACAACGTCTATTGTTTTAAACCACCCAGGCTGTGGTAGTTTGCTACAGCGGCCCTAGTCTACGAGTACCGTTGACCCCTGAACAACGCAGGAATCAGGCACCTCAATTCTCTCCTGCTCAGTCAAAAATCCATGTGTAAATTTTGACTCCTGAAAAACTTTAATAGCCTACTGTTGACCAGAAGCCTTACTGATAACACGAACATTCTATTAACACATATTTTGTATGTTATACATATCATATACTGTATTCTTCCAATGACACCTATTTTTGCTTCATTTTTTCAGGATTTCTAGGCTACGTGGTTTGTCTGCGAGTTTCTCCAAATTGTCATGAATCTCGAAAAAAATTTTCCAATATATTTATTTTTAAAAAAAGCTACGAATAAGTGGACCAGTACAGTTTAAATCCATGTTAAGGGCCAACTGTATAAGCAATGAACAGAATAAAGACTGTCTACCACGGAACTTACATTTTCCCGAAGGAGACAGATGATAAACAAGACGTGGTAGTATTAGGAAGTCCAACGAGGCAAGATACAGGGTTAGAAAATGCTGTGCAAAAGCAATTTTTGAGTTTAGACAGGGAGGTCAAGAAAGAGCTCTCTCACTGGAAAGGTAACATTTGAACAAAGACTAGATGAAATGAGACAGCGGGCACGTACAGTCCGGGCACCTTATTCCACACAGAAGGAGCAGTGGGTCCAAAGGTCCTGCTCCATGTAGTCAGGGAACAGCAACAGGACAGAGTCAGTGAGGAGCTGAGTGGCTGGAGGTGAGTCCAGGGAGGGGAGGGGCGAGTGGACTGTGGACAGCGTCCAAGGCCACTGTAATGACTGTGGCTTTTGCACTGAATGAGATAAGAAGCTTCTGGGGGTTTTGCCCAGAAGAATGGCATGATCTGACCTGCATTGTCAAAGGATCCTTCTGGCTGCCAAAGACAGTTCCGGCTGTAGTAGGTCAAGAGCAGAGGGACCTGGGAGGCTGTCCCCACAGTGTAAGAAGACAGGAATGTGAACCAGTGGGGCAGGGATGGAGTCAAGAGAAAAGCTGCCCTCGGGAGATTTCAAATGTAACCGTGTCAGTCTGCTGATGGGGCTGATGTGGGACACAAATCCACCCCTCCACCCATCCATGTTGGTTGGAGGTCGGAGCGATTTGCAGAATGGGGGTGACCACTTACGGAGATGGCCAGATCTGAGGAGGGCAGGGCTTGCTGCAGAGGATGGGGAGAATGGGACCAGGAATTTGCACCTGGACCCCTTACGTGGGAGAGCCCAGCTGTGAACCCTTCCTATCTGCCAAAGACTGCCTTATCCCAAGGTGTCCTGCGCAGCCTATCACTAGCCTTTTCTCATGGAAACAGTAGCAGGAAACAACTAGCATCCAGTGCGATCCGAAAGGTTCCTGCAACGTGAATCCAGCAGCAGCAGGGGACAGGAGCTTGTAGTGACAGCCGAAAACAGTCTTCTACGGTGGCTCTTGGGAGGCCAGCTGGGCAGACCTCGCTGTGGAGGGTGGTACAATCAGGAGCAGACAGTGACAGGGCCTTGTGCCAGCCTCTGCAGACTTGAGCTGGCTCTAAGAGGATGCTCAGGAGAAAGTGTGCACGAGAGAGCGAGCTCCGTCCCCAGCCTCTTCCCCCATTTCTGTGCAAAGCATGATTCTGCACATGACCGGGGAGGAATGAAAAGAGCCTCCAAAGGTGACCCCTCAATCTGGGTAAATCTGGTAGGTAGACCTTTGAGTTGCATGTGTTAGAATAAAGGGGAGCCCCACTTCAGGGCTGCCTGGGTGGCTGTCAGTTAGGCATCCGACTGGCTCAGGTCATGATCTCATGGTTCATGGGTTCGAGCCCCTTGTCAGGCTCTGTGCTTACAGCTCAGAGCCTGGAGCCTGCTTGGGATTCTGTGTCTCCCTTGATCTCTACCCCTCCCCAACATGTGCACATGTGTGAGCGTGCTTGCTCTCTCTCTCTCTCAAAAATAAACATAAAAAATTAAAAATAAATAAAGATTAAAAAGGGGAGCCCCACTTCAGAAGAACTAATCTACAAAACTAAGTATACAGAAGAGGCTAATTAAGAGCTCTAGGCACATCAGTAAAGTTTATTCCATTTTATAATAAGATTCACCACCGGGTGGGGTGCCGTCCTCAGTCTGTGCTCAAACACCAACCTCACGTGTCCCCGCCCAGGCCACGGCCACAGGCATCAGCACTGACTCGGCAATGAGAATATTTAGAATGCGAAGTGAGGATGGGGGGAAAAGACAGCAAGAAGACCCTGACAGTCCTGCCTCTTAAAGTCCCTGGTCCTCATCCTCTCCAAAGTGACCCCCATCTGCACAGCCCATGGTCCCAGAGGTGCCTCCCACCACATCTCCCTGCCCCAGACCAGTGCTCGGCACTGCAGCTGCAGAACCCACGGCACAGGCCTATGCTTTGCGGGGTCAGGGCTTCCTGTGTGTGCAGCCCTCTAGAGAACCACCGTGCCCACGCGACTGTAACCAGCCCTGGTGCATCTGGGGCCCTCAACAGTCGCAGGGCACTCGGGGAGTGGAGAAGAGCCAGGAAACGCATCTCAGCTGTGAAGAGTAAGAAGATGGGAAAGGAAACCAGAATCCTCCCGTGCCAGGGCCAGAGAGACCTGGCCCAGGGATGACCTTGGCTTCTCCGAGGTCATAAAGCCAGTTAAGAGGCCTGGCCAGCCTGGAACTCAGGACTCTGCCCTTTCTCTCGATCCCCCAACAACACCACCCCAAGTCAGAAGGAGGGGTTTCATGGGGCTGCTCGTCTCCGTGATAAATCTAAGGATGAGAACCAGATGCAGAGACACAGAAGCAGGAGGACAGCCCCGGTGTTGGGACCCCCATGGTGGGCCATGTGGCTGCAAGATGCCAGCTTGGCAGGACCAAAGCCTCCCTCTCTGCCAAGAAGGGATGTGGGGATCGTAAGCAGTTTTTCCATGGCACAAAGCCCTCCCGTAGCTGCAGACGCTGGCTGAGTCACAGATGAGTCACAGGGGGAGCCTCGGTGAGGAGACAGGCTCTCCCACGCGGGCTCCAACTCCCTGCCCACCTACTGGATGCTAGCTGCCCTGATGGGACCTTGCTCAGGGTCATTCAAGGTCAGAGAGATTTAAGACAAGACTCGGTAGGTAGACTTTTGAGTTGCATGTGTTAGAATAAAGGGAGCCCCACTACAGAAGATCTGATCTACAAAACTTGAGTACACAGAAGCAGCTAATTAAGAGCTCTAGGCGCAGCAGGAAAGTTTATTTCGCTTTATAATGAGATTCACCACCAGGTTGGGTAGGACGTGGCTGTCCTCAGTCTGTGCTGGAACCCCAACCTCACGTGTCCCTGCCCAGCCTACAGCCACAGGCATTAGGAATAGATTTTTCCATTCACAATGGCTACTTCCCAATCATCCCTTTGGCATAGTGGGAAATGGCACACCGGGATCTAAAACCTATGGGGATATGAGCTTGGGGGCAGAGATGGGGGACAGGGCCTGTGCCCCTAGTTTGAAAGTGAGTTCCGGGAAGGCGAGGCCTTCCTTCCAACTACCGTAGTCATGTTGTCCCATGACCTTGTTTTCTCAAGCCTCCCCTACTGTTTTCACTTGGGCAATAAAATTATTCCACAGGCATTACTTGTAGAGAACATGCTTAGAGATGAACCCCTTTCTCTGCTCTCCTCTACCTTTGCTTCTGGAAAGGTTGTGATTTGACCTCGAGCAAACCTAAGTTCAGCTGCCATTCCCTGGTTCACCCTGACTCCCCTGAATTCTGTAGGCTTCAATTTTCACACCTATAAAATGGGAATAATAGTACCCTGCAGCACCTAGAACACAGGGGGCACTCAAATGACAAAGATTGTTATTATTTTTCAGCCACCAGGTATATGTGGGTGGCTGTCTGTGAGGCAGGGACTCTGAACGTTGATAGGAGTTCAACTCAAAACATGAAGGAATTTAAGAAGGAAAGTTGTTGAATGCTGACAAAAACTGAGGACTGATGGATGTGGGGGGGAAGGGGGAATGGGCATGAAGGAGGGCACTTTGGGGATGAGCACTGAGTGTTATGTAGAAACTAATTTGACAATAAACTATTTGTAAAAAAAAATAAATAAATAAAAAAAATAAAAGGAATAATAAAAAAAAAAAAAAGAAGGAAAGTTGTAGGGGCTGGGCCATTTCAAACAGAGCAGTGTGTTTGGAAAGCAGTAAAATGCGAACAAGATCCCAAGAGAGGCAAAATTGCTATTTCATAGCATCATCAAAGGGAAACGTTCTAAGCAAATTGTTAACACGTGAATATGCCAGGCAGTGCATCCTACTGTGCATGGCAGCTTGTGAAATTATAACAAAGCAAGTAGTCCTTTGCTCTGCACTCGCTACTGGAAAAAGTATGAATCACAGAAGTTATTAAAAGACTCATAATGATGTGAAAAAGAGTGACTTTAAACTCATTCAATCTAACCTTTCATTTTACAGATGGAGAAACAGAGAAAAAGGAGAGCATCGCCTCTCAGTTGGTGGGCTGCCCTTCTTGTCATTTGACGCGAGGTGGCTGTGGAGGGTCCGGCAGAGAAGTCCAGGGACGTTTCCCTCCCGAAGATGCTGGCCTGGCTGGTGCCTGCTACTCTGAGGTTGACCTGCTTTTGAAGCCTGGCCTTTGTGGGAGACGCTCCAATGCACTTTGAGTGTCTTAACAGGGTGAGGATTTTCAATTGACCCCTTCCCTTTCGTGGATTAGTTCCACTGAGTGACTTGTTAAATGGAAAATACCTGAACTGTGTAATTTCCTCCGTGCATACGGTTATGCAGTTCTTACATTCCAGGGTCTTTTTCTATCTCATGAAAACCCAAACATTTTTTTCCCCTTAAATTAATGAACAGTCTAGCCAGGTTTGAGGGTGTTTCCTGACCTCAGACATTACTGCCTCTCTTTTTTTTCATGTTCATGGGTCACATGACACACATTTATTTGCTATCCAATAAAATATCCTATCCTGCATTTAGAATATAATTGACAATAAAAACAACTTCCTGAGTGTTCACATTCTAGTTGGGGTAATATACTTGAAAGGTTAAACAGCAATTCAAGGCTATATGTGATTAAATGCTCCAAAAACTCAGAAGCAAAAATGGATTCTATTTAATGTCCTACTAGGTCTCTGTAGAGAGGCTAAGGCTGGAGCTGAGTCTGGAAGGGCGAGTGATCTTATTGCTCTGAGCCCCTGAAGGGCAAGGACCAGGACTTTTCAGCTGTGGATGTATCTAAAGGGACCATGCCTCTGGGGCCCAGCTCTCACAGTTAGTGTTTGCTGAATTAACAGATAGCTTGCATTAATTGGATTCCCAACTGAATTAATGGATAGCTAGAGACAGCCATGGAGGGTTTCCTAGGCTGCGAAAACAACATGAACAAACCCATCAAGCATGTAGAGATAAGCTTTCTGTGTTAAGAAACTCCAAGAACAGTCCGGAGGCAAGAAGGCTTCCCATTCAGAAGTGGTGAGAAGAGCGACCCAGGTTGGTCGGGTCCATTGAGGCCAAGACAGAATGGTTTCTGCATTATGCTAAGGCAACGAGGACTCACAGAAAGTTTTGTAGTTAGGAGATAAACGGTGTGAGAATTAACCAGTAACACTGGGTGAAAAGGTGAACGTGGGAGGTACTTTAGTTATGTGTCCACCCAAGTGGATATCCTAGGTTCAAATCCCAGCTCTGTCATTTCTTGGCAGAGCCGATCCTGCGCTTATTCTTGGTTGTTGCTCTTTCATATGTGACTTAGAAACAATAATAGGACCTCCCACATGGTTATGAGGAGAACTAAATGAGACACTTTACCAGAAGTACTTGTTAGCATAACGCCTGAGGCATCGTAGGCTTTAACGAGAAAGGAAGTCCTTGCCATTTCCCAACCCCTACAAGTTTTCCCCGAGTCCACCATTCAGGCAGCCTGCACAGTCTGCACTGTGTAGTTCATAAATTAAGTTCTATCTTCTTCTTCACAACCGGCCGACTAGAACTTTCACACTACCGATATGCAATCTGTTAGGCGACCGAAATAGTGCATTCAATTCTTGCACCATCTCACCACCCGACCAGCTCCTGCCAGGACTGAACTGAAAAGAACTAAAACACTTTTCAAGGAAGTCTCAGCATTCAAAAATCCCTTCTGGGCCAGCTTCAAGGCTCAGCCATCCCCAAGTGGCACTGGATTCCAGCTCACTGGTTCCCAGTGCGGGTTGGCAGGCCCACAGCTTTGCAGGAAACGCACCATTTAATATGGACTCAAGCATCAGCTAAAATATGAAAATTACTGGACTATCTTGCATATATGACTACAAGGATTTCAAATTCTTTTCTGATTAATAAATTACAAACTTATTGTCAAATGCTACTGATTTATAACGTTTGCCATTATCTGTTATCTCGATCCACAGGCGCTAAATATACCACTACTCCCATGTAAAAGCCTTTAATCTTTTTTGACATTTGTTTTTTTAAAATATTTTTTAATGTTTATTTATTTTTGAGAGAGAGAGATGGGCAGAGTGTGAGCGTGGGAGGAGCAGAGAGAGAGGGAGACACAGAATCCGAAGCAGGCTCCAGGCTCAGAGCCAGATGCAGGGCTTGAACCCACAAAGTGTGAGGTCATGACGTGAGCCGAAGTCAGACGCTTAACTGACTGAGCCCTCCAGTTGCCCCTCTTTTGACATTTTAAAGCAGGGTGCATGAGTGTGATCATCAGGAAAAAACACAGGAAGGACAAGGAAAAAAAGGTATGGAACACCTTTCTTCAGTAATACGGAGTCGTGCGCCTAAGACCAAGATAATGAATAAAATAACCCAGTGAGTAAACCTGATGAAATAAGCAGAAAGGTGTCAGAAATGGCCTTTACCCTTGCCTCCAAGATCCTGGGGGCAGATTCCCAGCAGTCAGAAACATTTCAAATCGAAGTGTTTACTTCCCTTCCCTGGCCCCACAAAATAGATGTCAGTACACAAAGAGTATCTCTCTACTCATAAATCCCAGGGTTTTTAACCCAGAGAGGAGTCAGCCAAGAAAAACATCAGGAAGCAAACCTGGGAAGTGTTCGCAGTGCCTCCAAATGGCTCCTACCTGTGCGGCCGTTCAGGAGGATCGGCTTGCCCTCCAGTCCTCCTCTCATGGGGATGACGGTGATCTTATACTCTGTCCCCGGCTGCAGACCTGCAAGCAAACAGCCAGCCGGTGTCCGATGAGTTCGGGCTCCAGACCCTCGCCCCAGCCCTGCTCTCCCCCAGGATTTCTCCTGTGAGGGGGCTGAGGGGCTGTGCTCCCTCCCCCACGGAGGCTAATCTAAGGCAGAGAAAGGGCAGCAGGACCAGTGAGATACGAGGCATGGTCGAGGGGCTTGTGAGGGACCAAGGGGCCAAGGATGAGGTGGGCCTGACGCAGCTCCCTTCTTGGGCCACCAAGCACCGATTTCCCGATTTTATGTACATCCCGAATGTTTTTCTGCCCCCCGCAATCCTTTTCCCTCAAAAGTTTTTTTCCATCTCATTGTACTAATTAGCCACACTGTGTTCTGTCATTTTCTCCTTTGCTTTGTCTTTTTTTGTTGCCGTGGTTTGTTATTCCTCCGTAGCAGCAATTCAAACGACTCTTCTTCATGGCACAGGTATCCAGACTGGGGCAAAGTGCAGACGAATAGCGCACACGTGAGGCCCACACACTGTCCTCCACGCTGCAAATACTGGGACCCCCACAGATGTCCTTTCAAGATGGAATCACGGAGTGGACAGCAGAATGAGGCTCCAGAGGAGAACTGAACCATGGAACTAAGAAGCTGGAGGGCCCCTCTCCCTGCATAGGCCGCTTCCAAGGGTATTCATTTGGGTATTCATGATTGTGTATTGTTTACCTTAAAGAGAGCCCTGAAAATTCTATAAGCTTCAGGAGCCACAAATCATGATCCAGCCCTGCAGGGCCTTGTTTCCTTAGCAGCCATTGGATTTCCAGCGCTCAGCAGTTCACTTGCTCATCTGGGACAAGGACATCCTCACCCAGGGCCCCCGGCATGAGTCTTTCCATACAACAAGCCAAACAACCCAGTGTCTCTTTCTCATTCTCTCCCCTTCTCTCTCTCTTTCTCTCTCTCTCTCTCTTTCACACACATGCGTGTGCGTGCGCCCACATACACACATACACACACACACACACACACACACACACACACAGTTCTTCCAAAAGCAACATCTGTGCCAGTATATCCACCCTGAGACACAGGAAGTTTTCAAGAGGACATTGGACCTGTGATCTGTAGATCAGGTGCTCTGAGATTCCAGCGTCAGCTCTGGGATGCTGGAGCAAGCACGGCCTGCAGGCCTACAGAATGGGCTCATGTCTCGTGGTTTCCAGGGTCAGAGTTCAAGTGATTCCTAGGGCCCCAGGACCCTCTGTGCATGCTGTCCCCACCTCAGCACCCACAGCAAACATCTCATTCGCCCAGTGTTAGCTCTTACCGGTGATGTCGTAGCGGCTCTTGGGGTCACTGCTCTTGGGCACAGTGACCTCAGCCACCTCCTGCCCCGTCAGGGGACCATAATGCAGCTTGTAGTAGTCCACCTCGGTCGGGGGGTTCTCCCACTCCACATCCAGGGAGCTCTCAGTCTCCTCAGTCACCCACGCAGTGCCAAGCACAGCCGGATCTAGGGTAGGGGTCAAGGAAGGCAGGAGAAAGCTGTCAAGAGCAGCGGTCCAGCAGGTCTGAACAGGCCCTTGGCTTCCAGGTCAGTGCCCTTTCTTGGCACGTTGAGAGCATGCTTCAGCCCAGGACACAGTCCTTAAGAGATGTCTAAAACTACCAAAGTAGCAAATAAACTGTTAATCCTCAGTTAACAGTTAATCAGGCAGACTATCTTCTGGAAAGCCTTCTGTCCCCCATCCCTTTCCATCAAATGCCACATTGCCTTCCCTGCCCCAGCTGCCATGGACCGAGTCCTGGGCCACAGCTCTCTGACTGGCCATCCAAACCCGCAGGCCCTGGGGGGCAGACTGCTCTGAATGAAACACCCCCTTTAGCAGAAGTGACTCAAGAATCACAGAAGGGCCCCTCAAAGACTGCACCCCTGCATGAGAACAGGCTCTCCCATGTAAGGTGTGGGAAACACCTTCGAAGTTTTCTTATCCTCTGTCTCCCAAAGTACAGCTCCCTCCTCACCTCTCAGATCCTCCAACAAGGACTACCCCTAGGCCAAACTATAAAGTGAGTGAACCTTCATTTGGTCCTTCTGAGGATCCTTCTGGCACTTTCCACCACAGTTTAAACCTGGCACCCTCAGCTGCCCAATTTGTCCAGCCTGCAGAGGAGAGTTATTGGGCCCATTTATTCATAGCAAGTATTAATGGATAAATGTTTCCCCCCTCCCCTCAGTAAACAATGAAATTATAATGATGAATACAAAGGAATGGATCACTGGTATGGCTCCAAGAACTTTTTAGAGTAGTGGCCGGGGACGGGACTGGGTCTCTGAGAGCACTTTGCTCTCCAAAGGCCGTATCCCAGGTGGATGTGGTCTGACCTGAAGTCTGGAACAGGGAAGACAAGTCCCTAGACTCTCAGCCTTGCCCTTCTCCTCGGTCACATGCCCACCTTCATCACCTTGGCGGTGCTCCCACCTAGGCTCACTGACCACTTGTCAAGGACATGGGGCAGAGAATTTGTGCATCAGGCAGTGGGTGAACATGGTGCTCTCAAGGTCCCTGGGCTCTGCATGTTCCTGATTTACTCAGTTATGAACAAAGAAGCTCACGGAATTCTGTGAGAATTTTCTCCCACCTGCTGGCCTCTACAGCCAACCTCCAGGCTCTTCCTTCAAAGATGAGAATTCCTTGAGGCGCCTGGGTGGCTCAGTTGGTTAAGCGTCCAACTTCGGCTCAGGTCATGATCTCACAGTTTGTGGGTTCAAGCCCCACACAGGGCTCTGTGCTGACAGCTCAGAGCTGGAGTCTGTTTCAGATTCTGTAATTCCCTCTCTCTCTGACCCTCCCCTGTTCATGCTCTCTCTCTCTCTCTCTCTCAGAAATAAAACATTTAAAAAAATTTTAAAAACCCACAAAGATGGGAATTCCTTGAGGGGAACAGGTCAAAAGGTGAGTAATGGAAGTGAGTCAAGAATCACAGAAGGGTCCTATGCAGCTTGCAAATGAAAAAGTGGAGACTTAATGAAAATATTCAAGATTATCAGGGGGATAAGTATCTCTCGGACTGCGGCTCCCCTGAGAAGCAAATAAGAATGGGTTTAACATGAATCAGATTAGACAGAAAGACAAGCTTTGCCACTGTAAGGGTTTACAAGTCCCTAGAGCAAAAGCCGAGAGGGGTTACTAAGACTTTGAGAAAAGATGTCTCTGCTTTTTATTGGGAGGATTTGGGTACTGGCCTCTCTGAAGGCGGAGGTAGCCACAGACAAAAACAGGAGAAAGAGGAAAGCAGCCCAACAGTGGGGGGCTAGCCTGGCTCTCACAGGTTGGCTTGGGTGTGCTCCACTGGACACAAACAGTTGCACAGAACATTAACATCAGGGAAGCCACTGTGTGGCCATGATAGATCAAGACAAAACAGGTCCATTCTGTGATCATGTCTGAATACAGGCAAAAACGTGAACATGGTCCAAACCACATAAACAACTCAACATTCTCTCCCCTGACTAATAGGAGTGACTACCCTTTCTTTACTGGTGATGGCTTTAGCCTCTCACTAGTCTGTTCTTTCTAGATAAGGCTCACTAAGTTACCATAGAATTAACTCCTCTTCCCGACAGCATGCAAGCCAAAGCAAACCCCTGGCACCTTTGACTTCCCCCAGATCACCAAAATGCAAGCCCCAATTGTATCCCAGTCCTTTCTAACGCCTGTACGGAGATGCCCACAGCCCCTGCGGTGTGTTGTCCCATGCCCCAAGTCAATAAACCCAACCTGCTCAACTCCAGAAGTGTCCCGAGGGGTCTACAGCTGGAGGGAGGTGACAAAGTCAATTGCAAGTTGTGTTCGCAGGATGACAGGTCCTTCGTGGCCCTTTCCAACACATAGCCACCCCACCCCCACCACCAAACAGGAAAGGCAGCCTGATGTTTCTGCAGAGACAACTAACTATGTGCCCCAAACCCCAACCATCCGGGTCTCCCCGGATCTTTCCCCAGGAGTTTCACGAAGGGTGGAGGCAGATGATTTTTATCAGCATCTAAAACACAGTGCATGGTACACAGTAGATGTTCAGTAAAATACAATGAGTGAATGAATGGATCAGAAGCACTCAAATAAGAGGACCATGAAGATCTAAGAACTTTCATGAGAAAACAAGAATTTTAAATAGGAAGCAGGGGGGCGCCTGGGTGGCTTAGTCGGTTAAGCGTCCAACTTTAGCTTAGGTCATGATCTCGCGGTTCGTGGGTTCGAGCCCAGCGTCGGGCTCTGTGCTGACTGCCAGCTCGGAGCCTGGAGCCTGTTTCAGTCTGTGACTCCCTCTCTCTCTGACCCTCCCCTGTTCACGCTGTCTCTCTCTCTCCTAGAAATAAATAAAACATTTAAAAAAAAAATAGGAAGCAGGGATGTTTGTCCTTCAGCCAGTGAGTCACCAGAAGATCAGAGGGCAGGATAGAGACTTCAGGCAACGGATCTCCTTCCCTCCCTCTTAGTGAGGGCATGGTGGATGGCCTGCATCTCTACCAAAAGTGCCCCCTAGGCAGCCTTCTTCCCACAGCTCTTCTTGGGTCCAATTTCCATCCCTGGCCCTTCAGAATGAGGCTGATCCCCACTGAGGCCAGTCCCATAGTGTTTCACCAGCCAATCCTACCCAGGCCTCTTCACCAGACCGTCTTCAATTACACTGTTTATTCCCTCTCTTTCTTGATAGATAAATCTGATACAGGTGGCTTCGGCAAATCTTTACCCACCCCAACTTGAACTTGCTGAATGGCCTCAAAGGTTCAACACGGGCTTGAGGATGCAGATAGATGTGCTCCTTGACTGCTTGTATGTGGGTGCAGGGCCACCAGACCTTGCTAACCTCAGGGGGCAAAGAAGTCCCCTTGAGCCCCAATCCAGCAGTCTCTATCACCGACTTGGAGGAGCAGAGAGAGGGGAGCAGGAACTGAAACTGTTTTCTCCAGAAACTAGGAGGGCAGCACCCATGATTTCCAACCCCAAATCTGGGCACCGTTCTGAGCAGTTGAAGGGTATTTGCGGGGGGGGGGCGGTGCAGTATGGAAGAAAGCATTTAAAATGGGGCCTTCCCCGGGAACTCTGGGGAACCTGGCTGCCTCCTCACCAGTGGTGGCAAGCAGGTGCTGCGGGCTGCTGGAAACCTCCTTCTTCACGTTGTGCAGGGTAACCATGTACTTCGTGCCGGGCAGCAAACCGAGGATCTCATAGCTGTGCTGCTCCTTGGGCACCTGGACCTGTTTCTCCGAGAGCTCCTCTCCCAGAGGATAGTAGCTGAGGAGGTAGTGGTCCACCTCACTGGCCGGCTCCCAGCTCACCAGCAGGGAGTCCTCCGTGCTCCTGAGCAGCTGCAGGCCCTGGGGGGCCACCACTGTATGCAGAACAGGGACAGGCGTGCAGTGGGTGAGGCGGGGGCAGGAAGGAGGGATGCATCACCAGTGTGTATTCACTGAGCACTTACTATATGCTTAACACCGTGGTGTGCTGTGCTGAGCACCACTCTGGACACCCCTTCCTTCCTCACCACCACACACCCCATGCCACCCACCAGAAGTTACGTGGTTGGGAGTTAACACCGATTCCCTCATCCCCAGACACACACACACACACACACACACACACACACACACACCGCCATCAGATCACATAAGACCACTGGTCCTGAAACGTGGAACTTAACTAATGCCAACCCCAGGGCCCCACCCCGGGCCCACCGAATCAGAAACGCAGGCCGACCCAGCAATCTGTGTTTAAGAAGCCCTGCGGGGGCTCTGACACGGGCTGGACGCCGAGCCGCCCCCCCCCCCCCCCCCCCCCCCCCCCCCGCACGGAGGGAACAGGGTTCCAGGGTGCCCTCGGTTGGGCCTCGGCGCTCTCACCCTGGGCGCAGTCGGGGCCGCGGAAGCCCTCTTCGCAGTAACACNCACCCCGGGCCCACCGAATCAGAAACGCAGGCCGACCCAGCAATCTGTGTTTAAGAAGCCCTGCGGGGGCTCTGACACGGGCTGGACGCCGAGCCCCCCCCCCCCCCGCCCCCCGCATGCCCCGAGGACGGAGGGAACAGGGTTCCAGGGTGCCCTCGGTTGGGCCTCGGCGCTCTCACCCTGGGCGCAGTCGGGGCCGCGGAAGCCCTCATCGCAGTAACACTCGCCCGTGTCGCAGAAGCCGTGGGCGCCGCAGTCGCCGGGGCAGCGGCGCTCGCTGCAGTCCTCGGACGTGAAGTCCTCGTGGCACTGGCACGCGCCGCGCACGCACACGCCGTGGCCGCTGCAGTCCTCGGGGCAGGCGGGGTAGGCGCAGTCGGCGCCCAAGTAGGGCGCGTCGCACTCGCAGCGGCCGTCCACGCAGCGCCCGTGGCCGTTGCACGCGCCGGGGCAGGTGGGCCGCTCGCACGCGGCGCCCTCCCAGCCCTGCTCGCAGCGGCAGCCGCAGGTCTCCGGGGAGAAGGTCCCGTGGCCGCTGCAGTGGCCGTTAGCACCTGCGGGCGAGAGGAAGCAGGCTGGGGGTGGGGGGGACCTGCGAGCGGCCCTCCCCTTCCCTGGAGCCCCGCTAAGAGCGGGCTGGTGGCTCCCGGGCGGGCGCTTTCTCTAAAGGAGGGCTCAGGGCCCCCGAGGAAGACGGGGGTCCGCTCTTTCGGTCCCTGATGGGACTCTGACCTGTGATATCTACAAACGGTGCCCTCTTTTTATGCCCCCAGAGCCATGGGAAGTCCCCTTCCCTTTTTCCTTCTCAGCCAAGTGCTGGGTGAATTCGAGTTCCCTCCTCTCTCAAAGGCAGTCATTCCTGAGAGCCCAAGAATGAGGGCACGTTCACGTCTCCAGCCTGGGCGCCAGCGCAGAAGCTTCTCTCTCTCTCTCTCTCTCTCTCTCTCTCTCTCTCTCTCTCTCTCTCTATTTAAATGTTTATTTAGTTTTGAGAAAGAGAGAGAGACACAGAGTGTGAGCAGAGGAGGGGCAGAGAGAGGGAGACGCAGAATCCGAAGCAGGCTCCAGGCTCTGAGCTGTCAGCACAGAGCCCGATATGGGACTGGAACCCACCACCGTGAGATCATGACCTGAGCCCAAGTCGGCCGCTTAACTGACTGAGCCACCCTGGCATCCCGCATAATCTTGTCTTATTTTGGCTGGAGGTTGATGGACCTAGCAGTTTGGGGCTGAGCCCAAACTGAATCCTGGCAAAGTAGGCCCGCAGAAGCTACAAAATGGCCACTCTCAGTATGGGGGTGAAAGGTGGAAGAAGGGATTACCCAGGCTCCCCTCTCTGACTCCAGGCAGCAAGCGACAGTTGAAGGCCTTCAACAGCACTGGCTCCTGCTTCTCAGAACACCCTCTTTCCTTCCTAGAAACTTTGGAGGTCCAGGCCCCACCTCAGCGCCAATTCCATCCTGTTTCATTCACGGCAGTGTCCCTGGTGCCTAGTTCTGTGTCTGATTTATAGGAGACTCTTAATGGTAGCACTTCCTCCAGCATTAAAAGGCATGCCAGCATACCCCCAGAGACTTGGAATTATCTACTATGGGCCAGGAAACTGATGTTTGTCTACAGTCCTCAGAACTAGACTAGTGGATAGATTTATCCTCATAGGGCAGTTTAGAAAACTTAAGGAATTGACCCAGAGGCACACAACTAAAAAGCAGTAAAATGCATTTATACCCAGTCCTGTCTAGCTCCAAAACTGACCATCCTTCCTGTCTTGCCCACTGCTCCCCCTCCCTGTAGAGATTGGATACACAGGTCAATGTCACTTTAAGAGTTGGTGGTCCACTGAGATACCACCTCACGCCAGTCAGAGTGGCTAAAATGAGCAAATCAGAGAACTCGAGATGCTGGCGAGGATGTGGAGAAACGGGCACCCTCCTACACTGTTGGTGGGAATGTAAACTGGTGCAGCCCCTCTGGAAAACAGTGTGGAGGTTCCTCAAAAAACTAACAATAGAACTCCCCTATGACCCAGCAATAGCACTGCTAGGAATTTACCCAAGGGATACAGGAGTGCTGATGCATAGGGGCACATGTACCCCAATGTTCATAGCAGCACTTGCAACAATAGCTAAAACATGGAAAGAGCCTAAGTGTCTGTCAATGGACGAATGGATCAAGAAGATGTGGTTTATCTATACCATGGAATACTACATGGCAATGAGAAAGAATGAAATCTGGCCATGTGTAGCAACATGGATGGACCTTGAGGGTGTTATGCTGAGCGAAATAAGTCAGGCAGAGAAGGACAAATATCATATGTTTGCACGTATAGGAGGATTAGGAGGAACTTAACGGAGGACCATGGGGGAGAAGAAGGGGGGAAGTGGTGGGGGAGAGGGAGGGAGGCAAACCATGAGACTCTTGAATGCTGAGAACAAACTGAGGACTGATGGGTGTGCGGGGGAGGGGGGATGGGCATGGAGGAGGGCGCTTGTGGGGATGAGCACTGGGTGTTATGTGGAAACCAGCTTGACAATAAACTATTTGTTAAAAAAAATTAAATTAAAATAAATAAAATAAAATAAAATGTTTCTCATAAAAAAAAAAAGAGTTGGTGGTCCCTCTCTACTGACTCCCGGATGCTTCCTGGAGCCAGTGACAAGGATGAGACCCCCACCCCACTCTAAGAAAACCCAGAAGGAGGCGGGAGCACACCAGACTCCCAGAGAACTCCTGGCACACGGAAGGTGCCCATCGATTGCTTGTTGAGTGAATACCAGATGGGAAAGCTCACCTTGGCAGCAGCGCTGAACATGGCACTGCTCCTTCACCTCCGCCATCTCGTCCTCCAGCTTCCTTACTCGGGCCAGGAGGGCTTGGACGCTGCCTGCCAGCTCACAGTCCTTCTGTGGCGTCTGCAGGCGGATGTTGTGCCTGAAGATGATGTTCTGTTCCTCGGCCTCCCCCAGGGCCGGCAGCGAGGCCCCCTCATCACCGAGGGGCTGAGGGTCAGTCTCCACCTGGACCAGAGCGGACTTGGGCACGTCAATCTTGTAGGTGTGGCTGACGGTAACCTGTTGCTCCTTGTCGCTGCAGCCGTGAGGCTCGAGGGTGGCCGGGGCCGAGGCCCCCAAAAGCACGGAGCCAAAGAGGAGCCCCAAGGGGAACCAGAACATTCCCTGGAGACTCATCCTTGGGGAGATGGGGAGCAGATCAGCTCGGAGACCTGTGTCCAGAAAAGATGCAAATGTGCCATGGAGATTTGCTGGCGGAAATCAGTCTTTGTAGTGGATTTTAGGAGGCCACACAGGACTGAGAACCCAGCAGAATGACCTAATCCTATATCTCCTGAGGGTCCAAACTAAATTTTGTATTCCTTCTCCTGCCTCCTGTCTTTGCTTACACTGGTCAGTGCCTGGGACACCCTCCTCTTCACCTCTAATTCTATTCTCACCTGACTCCTAGGGATAGGAAAACAATTGTAACAAGGCTTTGATCCCTGCAAACCTAGTCTATACCACACCCTAAGTAATACCCCCCCCCAATAACACCACCTACAGAACAGCCGCACATGGAGGACATGCTATGTGCCAGGCGCTGTCCTAAATGTTCTAAGTTTATTAACTTATTCAAGCCTCACAGCAATGCTTCACAGAATATACTATTATTGCCCCATTTTGCAGATACAGCAAGTGAGACTCGGCTACCTAAAATGACTTGCCTACAGGCAAACAACCAAGATGGCAGAATTTGAATCCAGAGTCCATGCTCATCACCACTGTGTCACACTGCTTTGCACACATGAGGAAACCAAGACTCAAGCGACTGAGCCTGTTGTCCCCGGTGCCACAGCCAAGGAAGGGCAGAGCCTGTCCTCAAGAGGCAGCAGAAGAGCAGAATTTCTAATACAAATAATTTCTCCATGAAGCCTTCTCTTGTGCCCTTCCCCCCCCCCCCCCCCCCCCCCCCCCCCCCCATCTCACTCCAGCTGGAAACTACTAGCTCTCCTGCTGAGCATTCAGAGAAACATGTTGGTTCCTCTGGGGGTCTCTTCGTGGTCTGCCTTGTGTTATAGTTACTCTTGTATGCAGTTTGTCTCCCCATGAGGCGGTCAGCCTCTTAAGGACAGGACCCAAGGCTGGAGCCCTCCCAAGGCAGGAGCACAGAGTCACCCAGGCCAAGGGGTCCAGGCACCCTCCAATCCATGTTCAGTGGGCCTGGGTTGTCGGATGTTTCACCTCTCTCTGGTTTGGCCTCCAGGAGGTGTGAGCCTTCAGCTCCCTCAGTGTGCGGAAGGACCCGCATCCCCAGCTCCTATCCAGGATGGCACGTCCTTGACCACTATCAGACCGAGGCTGGGCAGACACAGGAGGCCTAGCCAGTGCCTCACATTCACGCAGGGGCTCCCGCTCCCCAGCACACCTCTGGGCTGGGGTCTCACGGCCCCCTCTGCTAGAAACCGAGCTGCAGGGCTGCCTCTGGCCAATGGGCTCCTGTTACCAACTCAACACTTATAAGTGGTTGTATCGAGACTGAAGTCAGGAAGCCTAATCCTTTCCTGGAGGGGCTGTCCCAGTCAAGCCCAGGCTCTCCCTCCCCATTGTGAGAGGCAGCAACGATGTGCTGGAAAGACCGATCAGGTCCTAGGTGTCTAGGCTTGGGAAGGCTGCTCATCCCCGCGTTACCACTATACTCTGGCAGAGTGAGAATGGTAACACCTGCTCCACCACCTTGCCGAGCACACACTTAAGTGCTCAATAATGAGGTTTTGGTTTTAACCAACTACTAAGTGAGACTTCCTTTCCTTTCTTGTCTTTTCTATCCTGAAAAGAGATACAACAAAAATAGCATCATTTTTAATAATCGTTAGAAGAGCAACAACCATGGAACCACCACCCAGCTGAAGACCTAGAATGTCGCTAGCGCCCTGGAAGCCCGCCACAGGCCCTTATTGGATGCTGCCTCTTTTCTTTTCTTTCTTTAAATGTTTATTTACTTCTGAGAGAAAGATCACAAACATGAGCTGGGGACGGGGAGAGAGAGGGGGGACACAGAATCCGAAGCAGGCTCTAGGCTCTGAGCTCTCAGTACAGAGCCCGACACAAGGCTCAAACCCACAAACCATGAGATCATGGCCTGCGCTGAAGTCAGACGCTTAACCGGCTGAGCCACCCAGGTGCCCCACTGCCCACCCATTTTAAAGAGAGATATTCTATTGGAGCTTTTCTGCAGGCAGGTTGGTTTGAAGAGAAGGTAGAGGGCAAAAAGACCAGTGCCTGCCCCTTGCCCAGAGGATTCAGAGGTGGGGGGTTGCTGGAACAGCCTGCATAGCAGAGATCGCAGGGAGGCTATGGTGGGAGAGACCTGCACCCCAGAGTTGGGGGAGACAAGACTATGTTAAGTCCTGCCATAGATCATAGTCCTGCATAAATCTGTGCAGCTTACGATGGGGGCTGGGGCTGAGGGCAGCCCCCTGGCACAGCAGGAATGGGCTTCCCAGCAGCCAGACCTCAGGAGAAGGTGCCCAGGCGGTGGAATGAAGACTGTCTGAAAAACCCAGGACAGATTCGCACAAGAGGGAGCAGGTGGAGCGAGCACTGGGCTCAGCTACCACAACAAGGGCATCGGACGACCAGAAGGAACGTTAGTAGTAACTATCTAGTTAGTAGCTCTAACTAGGTAAAAATGCCTGTGCCCTTCTCTCTGACTCCCCTCCCTGCTGGTGACCTGGAGAAGCCAGAAGCAGCCGGCAAGTTGAGGGAGGCAGCGGAGGAAGGAAGTCACCAGGGTCACTACCTGCCCTGTGGGCGCACCTGCAGACCCCAGGGTCAGGCCTGAGCTGTGTGAGAAGAAAACAGGTGGCCTGGATAGGAGATCGGGGCTCTCATATTGGGCGGACCTGCCCTTCACAAAAGGGCTTACTTCCCATACCAAAAGTAACCAGAAAAGCTTGGAATCTGCTTGAGAGTTTTGTCAGAGGATGGGGGAGGTGAGGAGGGCCAGAAGAGCAAGTCCGAAGGCAGGTATAGGATAAAAATAATGATATTTCAAGGGACGCCTGGATGTCTCAGTCACATAAGAGTTGGACTCTTGGTTTTGGCTCAGGTCATGATCTCACAGTTTGTGAATTCAAGCCCCACATTGGGCTCTGTACTGGCAGCACAGAGTCTGCTGGGATTCTTTCTCTCTCTCCCTCTCTCTCTGCCACTCCCATGCTCATGTTCTCTCTCTCTCTCAAAATAAACAAATAAGCAAAAACTCAAAAAAAATAATGATATTTCACAATTGCTATCTTCAAAAGTTATACCCAATGGTAACACAGTCACACACATAGCTGCATGTCCACTCCCCAAAATGTGGACCGAGGCTCAGGGGCATCAAGCAATGTGCCCTTGATTATGCAGCAAAAGTGCAAGGCTGCAGAATCAAACCGGTCTACAGAGTGTTCACTAACTGAGCCCTTAAGCATTGAGTACCTCTGTCACCGCCCCCGGCCCCCCAATAACCACACACATTGATCTCAAAGCAACTTCTTTGAATGGCTTTTTGCTGTCCCAGATCCCCTTCCCAGGCACAGTGGAGGTAGGAAAGCAGACGGAGACTCCCCTGCCCACTCCTGCCATCCAAACCCCTCCCCACCCTATGGCTTAGTATATTCTGAGACGCACATGGAGCACAGATGGGTTTTTGAAGAAGTTCTGCACGAATGCAAAACAGCCACAGACTCTTGCCATAAACCGCAGCAAGGCTGCACGAAGCCCTGTCTCACAGTGTTTGTTTTTGGAAGCCGGAACATGAAAAACCCCCGAAGCCCTCGGAGGAGCCCTCCGTGTCGCCCGTCCTTCTGCCGCCTGTCGCTTGTAACAAGATGTCCTCGCTAATTGCAGCCTCTTGGATTCCCCCAGTTGAGCTCAGATTTCCCTGGGCAGGGTGACTGTTGGAAAGAAGGTGGGAGGGAGGGATCCGCGACCCAGCATTTCTGTCAAGTGTAATGAGGGAGAGGAGAAGCCTGCTGGCTTTCCTTCCAGCACGTGGCAGGAGAGACTTGCCTTGTGTAAGAGCATAAGGAAGGGATGACCTCACCAAGGCTGTTAGTATGCACAGCCAACCACAGACAGAGATCCATCAGAGTGGGGAGGGGGGCGGACAGGGCAGCCAATGTCACCAAGGAAAATGCAGGATAAGTTTCAGAATGGGGATGATTCTTCTGTTAAGGAATCATTTAGTAAATGCTGTAGGAATGTCTGAGAGAAAGGGGGTTTACACGCGTGGAATGTGCCCACAGGAAACCACAGGAAACTAAGTGTCCCCAAGAATTGGTCTCATTGACTCCGATCTGGTCTTTAATTCCGGCTGCAGAAGGGGTGGGAGGGGATGTGGGAAAGTGGGAGGCAGAGGCATACTAAGACTCAGGACAAATGCTGTCTGGCATTGCTTTTTCAAGAAAGGCTCTTTGAGGAATATGCTGCTCCCATCAGCTGGAAGGACAGTCCCTGTGTTCAGCCCTGAGACACACACTGATGTCACAGGGCTCTACATCTGTGCCCTATTCATTCTCTCTTGATGGCCACACCTACCCTTGTGGCTTCAATTTCCAACCAAACACTGATAGCTCCAAAATCTGTATGTGAGTTCCTCAGACAGACATCCCTGTAATCTCGGGCATGGCAGTGGCCATGAATATGTTGATCCCCTCCAGCCTCATAGCATAATCCTGATGAAGGTAGTATTTTGTGTATTAAGTGGTAATTGCCCCTAGGTTTTTTGTGTATGGGTTTATTAGACGATGGCGACTGTGCCAAGTACTTTATAAATATAATTCTCACTAAGTCCTCAAAATCCTGGGAGTCAACAGATACCATTCTTTATAACAGGTGCTCAGAGAGAGCTTGCCCAAGGGCATAGAGCTAATACGCAGCAGAGCTGAGATCAAACACCAGGTCTGTCCACTCTCCCTATCTGTATTCTTCGTCTCTCTGCTATATGTACTGCCCCCCCCCTCAAAAAATCCTGTGAGAAGAGTACCATATGTGAAAAAAAAAAACAATGTCTTCTTGCCTATCATATTTAAGAGAGGGGTTCTTCTGGTACGAAGGAAGGAAGGAAGGAAGGAAGGAAGGAAGGAAGGAAGGAAGGAAGGAAGGAAGGAAGGAAGGAACTCATGCTTACCGGGTGCTCATTTCAAAATGAACTGGCCAGTAACTAAATCCTATGCCTGCACTCCCTCTGAGCAGTGCCAAGGATGATCTCCTAGAAGAACAATTCATTTTTCCCCCAACAAGGAGGTTAAATCCCCATCAGTTCTCAGGAAATGCTGGAGAACTGCTTTCTCAAGAAACACAAAGCAGACCAAGACTTCTATCTGTAGGGCAGGTGCCAACCAAGGCTTGGCCAGCGGAGAAGATTGGACCCTCAGTCCCAGATGGTCCTCTCCTATCCTAAGGCTGATGGTCTCCATGTCACCTCGTTTTCTCCAAAGAAGTACATATACCCTGGTCAGAAATAAAATATACGACTTACAATGAGGAGAGTGGCAGCCAACTTCTAGCCACCATTACAGATCTTTCTACTTATATTCAGGGCTTTCTTTGGTTCCCTTATTACCTCATCATGCCTTTACAATTAACCACAAGCAAATGAGAGCACTGATTTGGGTTTTAGAAAAATCGTATCATCCGTTTCCAGTAGAGTCACTTAAAAAGATATTCTTCCCCAAATGACAGGGTGGACATCATTGAACCATGAAGGAAAGTGAAGGAGATGGTGGCTAGGGATGCAATGATGTCACAAATGCCACCAGGCATTTGTAACTCCTTCCCCAAACCCTCTTGGGCATATTCCGCTGGTGATCTACAGCCTGGGCTCTGGGTGACCCCAAGGTCTTCTGACCCAATACTCAGTCCGGGAGAGCAAGCTCTTGGGTGCCTGACTGAACTTGTCCTCAGCCTACTGATTTCACCTCTGGATCTTTTCCTGTTTTAGTAATGCAAGCATGTGAGATGCACAAGACAGTACTCTTTCAGTGGGGTCGTACTCCAGACAAGCCAAATACATATGAGCACTTCTATTTCTAGTCCCTGTGACCCTGACCCCTCTGCACAGGCATTCTATATAGAATAGAAGACACCAAGTGTGGGTGAGAATGAAAAATTGGTTGTATGGGATAAGGCTTAATATGGTGGCCTTCCAGGCATCAGTAGGTGTCCCCGCTCTTCTGAGTCAGTGGACCACAACTGGATGGTCAAGAAGTCCTTGAAGATGACTCACACTGCCATGCAAGGCCCTTTTTCCTGAAGAACTCTTTCTGCCAAATCTGCCCATGCACCACAAGCTGGAAGAGCTGACACGCAGTGCCTCTGATTAAGCCCCAACCCTCAATCACCTTTTGGTAGGTGGCCACAAGCTGCCGTGGCTGTTTTACTCCATCAACCAAATATTAATCTACCTTATGGAAGCTCAAATGGGGGATGACCATGGTAGTTCCCATTTTCTAAGCGCTTACAATGTGCCAGGCTCTGTACTAAGCTCTTCTACAGCTTTTCCTGAGCATCAGGCAAAGCTCTCCATTTACACCAGGGGAGTGAATCCCTTCTTACGAAAAGCCCTTCCTTTTACTCTCACTGGAATGCATAGGTTCATGCACAGTGAGAAGATACGGTGGGCACAAGGGCATAAATTTGGGGACCTGTTTTCCCTGCCTCCTACCGCATACCCAGTCTCCAGAATGCCTGAGCATCAAGTTGGACACAGGTGTGGGGGCTTCTCATGACAAGCTCTGTTTCAGCTGAATGATAGTGAAGAGAGGCGTATGATGAAACTGTTCCTTTTCCTATCCTTAGTTCAACATGCGGTTTTCCACATATTGAAATAATTTTAGTTCCAGCCTTCGTCCAAAGAGGCTAAGTTCCATCCACACTCTCAGGGTCTCCCCTTGAGACCAATAGCACTTATTCACGTGGAGAGTGGCTGACATTAACTGTGAGTCTACTGTGGTGAGACCTTGCAAAGCCCATTTGGGGATCAGGCTTGAGACCTTAGCGTCATCAGCTTCTGGTGACCCCAGATGCTGCTACGGAACATAAACCATGATCTCATATCTGTATCCAGAACCCTGTAGGAGCCAAGGCTATGGAATGAGCGGTGGGTGGACAAGAGTTTCCACTGGATCTGGGCATGATTTCTACAGGCCTCTTCTCAGGAGTAGACCTCAGTCTACCCCACATTTCAGACCACAGAACGGTGCTGGAATAGAAACCAGAAGCCACAAGATGATCTGAAGTCATCCTGCATAATTTTCCCTCCTTCAGCAGTCAGCTGCAGCCACAAACTTGGGGACATAGCAGGATTCAGAGTTGCATGAAGGAATGTCTGGTTTGGGGGAGCAGGGGAGTTCCCCTGGGAAAAGAATGGTAACTGATGTTAATACTTCATATTCCTTCCGAAGTCTGTCTCCCAGCATCGTCACCTTGACTCTGAGTCTCAACAAACATCTAAATGTCAAAAAACACCAATTCTTCCCATGCAGATCTTGAGCCCGGGAAGCCACCAGTCTATAGTCCTGGCTAAGCAAGCATTTCCTGCTACTTTGGTGGTACTCTGGCTCCTGGAAGAGCCCATGGACACTAGGCACTGTGTCTAGCCTAGTTTGTTATTTTTACATTAAGATTTGTTCTTTTTTAAATGCTTATATCAGCAACTCCAGTTTTGTGTTTTTAGGTGACTGTTCTCACTCATTCCCTCTCCATTTCCTCAGCTCTCTCCCAATCAAAAAAAAAAGTAAATAAATAGGCACGTAAATAAAAAGACCCCCGAGAACTAGTCCACCATATAGTTCCTTGAAATGCTTCCAAATGGGTGTTTTTGAGGCATCTCAAGGGTCATGGCATGGGAATTTGGGGAAAAGTTATAAATAAAAAACAAAATCTATAAAATTAAATGTTCAAAAAAACTTCAAAGCTTTTCAAGTGCATTTGCAAACATCATCTTACTTGGCATAGGCAAAATTCAAGAAAAGGGGAATGTTAGAATAGTTTCCTGATCATATCGAAAATGAAAGTTTTGTTTCAGGATCTTTTAAAAATGTGAGATGTAAGAAAACTCACCAAAAAATGATGGCTTTGACATTGTAATAAAGAAAAAAAAAAAAAAAGCCCACAAAGAAACGAGATGAGGAGGCCATGAAAAACTTAAAGGAAATATTGTATGTAAAAATCTGCTACTCCAGGCAGAAATTTCCCTACAACACAGGCTGCATGTGGCCTGGTAAGAAGGTGACTATACTCAGCCCCTGTCTGATATCCAGTATAGGCTAAGGACGTGTTACTTGCGTCCTGGGAAATGTTTCCTAGTTAGGTTTTCCCTCCCGCTGGAGATAATAGGAAAGTGTTTACACTGCCTGGATTTTCAGGCTCAGGAACTCATTCCCACCTGACCACGTCCCTCCCTCACACAGGTATAGACCTTGGGACCTCTTACCTCACAGACTGCTGGGCACCACTTCCAACACTTCCTTCACCCAGGGACTGGACCCCTTGGGCTGCAGACCTTGGTGCTGCTCAGTCCCTCCTTCTCTCCCCTCCTCAAGTTCCCTCCCTGGGTTTAAATCCCAACCAGGCCAGAGGAGGAGCCAATGGGGACTCCTGGGTGTTTCCCTGTCTTCCCGGCAGAAACTCAGTTGAGATAATGAGAAATTCCTTCTCATTCTAACTAAGGAAATAAAAAAGTACACATTTCCCCCTTCTTTTTTACATCCATTACACAGAAGCTAAAAATACTGGTGACTGTTTCCATTTAAGTAGATCCAGAATAAGGTTATTAAGAGAGTTTGCATGCAAAAAAAAAAAAAAAAAAAAAAAGAGTTTGCATGCCTCCTGGCCAGGAGCTGGCTCTTTGGATTTACAAGAGATTTTCTAAAGTCTCTCTTTTTTTTCCATTTCAGGCACCCTGGGACTTAATTGCCTGCCATTTTTAAAATAGGAGACAACCTTTGGCATTGAAAGAAATGAGCAGAGACCCTCAGGGACAGATCCCCCTGCCAACCTCTCACCTCCTCGCATCATCAGTTCGCAGCTCTGAGTGGCAGGGCTCTGAGGACAATGAGAGCAATAATAGAAGATCTAGGGCATTCTACTCCAGTGCCTCCCTATCCCACCCCTTCCTGGAGCCTCCTATAGACCAGCCACAGAAGAGCTCCATCACCAGGAAAGCACTGTGGTCTCCCTTTCGTGCTGCCCTTCCTCTTTTGCCATCAGATGGGCAGACCTTAATTCTTTCCACGAAACAAAGCTATTCCAATGGGCCACAGCTGACACTCACTGTTCTTTCTACCCTCCACCCCACCTCTGCCATGCCTGAAGAAGGTTCCACAGTGCAGAACTATACCACACTGGAAGGAGTGCGTATGTTTCAACTTAGCAACGTAGACATTGAATGTTGTTGGAAGGAAAGATGGACAGGAGAGATGGGGGGTGGAGGAGTTGTCCCAGAAGCGTGAGGGTATATCCAGAGCCAGATTGCTGTATCTGAAGTTTGTTGGATTCTTGCAAGTGACATTTGACCCTAATCTCTTCGTGCCTCAGGTTACTCAATCTCTAAAAGAAGAATAATGTGGTTATGATAAGGATTAAAGGAGCTCATACATGTAAAGAATTTCAGGGAGGGGCCAACACGGCGGAGAAGTAGGGGGATCTGAAGTTCCCTCGTCTCTCAAACAAAGCAGTGTTGAAGGAACCCCAAGAGTCTGGAAAGCAAAGAGAGAGAGTCACTTCCAGGATCCACCAGGACAGCCTGATGGGCCATACATGCATGATTGTTAACTGGGAGAGATAAAACGAATGGAGGGGGAGATCCCTTTCTGTGGAGAGACAAAGGGAAGAGAAAGAGTGGCTGGGGAAGTGTAAGACTGTATCTGGACAAGAGAAAAACCACAGACTGGGATGGAGAAAGATACAATCTCTAACTGAGGGGCTTTCTCTAGACTGGGGCCTGCTGCCTGGATCGGGCACCTGGGGAGGGGGGGAGCCAGCTCCGGGCTCGGTGGCTAGGTCAGGTGTGCAGTCTACAGTATGAGAAAGGGATCCTCTCCCTGGAGTGCTATGGGACAGGGCAAAGACAGCCTGTGCTTTCCCTCCCCCCCCTCCCCCCCAAGCCAGAGACCACATATCGGGTGGCATGGAGCAGGAGTTTGAATCCCAGCCAAACCCTGGTTCATGAAAGTCATCGGAGCAAGACAGACTGCCTCGTCTGTGCCTGAGGCACAGTGAGGATGGCTCCAACAGAGTGGTTTGGAACACCAGGTCCATGAAGGAGAGACTGGGGTGTCGCCATTTTTCTCCCCACCACCACCAAGGTGGGGACTCAGGGATCGCACAGTGGGACCCATGGTGGATACCAGACCCACCTACACCAAACCATGCCCTTCCACACCTGATAACTGTGTATCTACTGGAGCCAGATAGATGCTGAGGAACCAGGTGGCCCCCTCCTCCAGACCAGCACTGTTACATTGCCTGATTTAATTCTCAGACAATTCTTATTATATAGATATATTCTTCCTTCCTTTTCTCCTTCTTATTTCTTGCCTCCTCTAGTCTGGTTACTCTGATTGTTGGTTTGTTTAAGCAGACATATTTAATCCATTCTCTTGATGCATGTTATACACCTCCTTCTTTATTCTCCTCTCTCTCTCTCTCTCTCTCTCTCTGGATTAATTAAGCCATATAGTTTCTCTGCCTGGACAACTTTATCTTCTTTTCTTTTTCCCCACCTCTTTCTTTATTTTCCCTTCTCTCTCTCTAACTAAGCCATATAGTTTCTCTGCCTGGTCAATTTTTATTTTTTCTTTTTCTTTGCCCCTGTCATTTCTCTCTTTGTATGGGATAAGGCCTCTTCCATCAGCACTGCCTCCACCTTGTTGTTTACTTTTAGCTGGTGTTTCTGGGTTGTTGGGTCTTTTAAATTCGTCTATGTGTTTGCGTGTTTTTGTTTTCTGTTTGTTTTTTCGTTTTGTTTGTCTATTTGTTTTCCTTTCCAGGGCTACTTCAATGAAGAAATCAAAGCACATCCAGTGGAAGGTCCAAAACATCACTACGAGTAGGGGGATAAAGTAACCAAAGACACGAAAGAGCAGGTCACACTCCCCAAAAAACACCTCCTGAGGGGCCAGGCCCTGGACAGTGTATGTCCTCTTTTTAATATAGTAGTGCTCACAGGTGCAGGGCACATAACAAGCTTTAAAACACATAAGGGACAGAAAGCTAGCCAAAACGATGAAACAGAAGAATTCTCAAAAGAAATTCCAGGAAGAAATAACAGCTAAAGAATTGCTAAAAACAGATATTAAAAAATATAACTGAACAAGAATTTAGAATAACAGTCATAAGATTAATTGCTGGGCTTGAAAAAAGCATAAAAGACAGCAGAGAATCTATTGCTGCAGAGATCAAGGAACTATAAAATGGTAATGATGAATTTAAAAATGCTATAAATGAGGTGCAAAATAAACTAGAAGCAGTCACAGTGAGGACTGAAGAGGCAGAGGGGAGGATAGGTGGAAACAGAAGATAAAATTATGGAAAAAGATGAAGCTGAGAAAAAGAGAGATAAAAAAAATGCTAGACCATGAGAAGAGAATTAGAGAACTAAGTGATTCAGTGAAACGGAACAATATCCATATCATAGGAGTTCCATAAGAAGAGAGAGAGAAAGCAACAGAAGGTGTACTTGAGCGAATCATAGCTGAGAACTTCCCCAATCTGGGGAAGGAAACAGACATTGAAATCCAGGAGGCACAGAGAACTCCCTTCAGATGTAACTTGAATCCATCTTCTGCCTGACATATAGTGAAACTGGCAAAATACAAAGATAAAGAGGGAATTCTGAAAGCAGCTAGGGACAAACTGGCCTTAACATACAAGGGTAGACACATAAAGGTAGTAGCAGACCTATCTACTGAAACTTGGCAGGCCAGGAAGGAATGGCAGGAAATCCTCAATGTGATGAACAGGAAAAACATGCAGTCAAGAATCCTTTATCCAGCAAGCCTGTCATTCAGAATAGAAGGAGAGATACAGGTTTTCCCAAACAAAATAAAAAACTGAAGGAATTCATCACCACTAAACCAGCCCTACAAGAGATCCTAAGGGGGACTCTCTGAGAGGAATGTTGCAAGGACCACAAAGGACCAGAGACATCACTACAAGCATGAAACCTACATATAACACAATGACTCCAAACCCATATCTTTCAATAATAACACTGAATGCAAATGGATGAAATACTCCAATCAAAGCACATAGGGAATCAAAATGGATTTGAAAAACAAGACCCATCTATTTGCTGCCTACAAGAGACTCATTTTAGACCTGAGGACATCTTCAGATTGAAAGTGAGGGGATAGAGAACCATCTATCATGCTACTGGACATCAAAAGAAGCTGGAGTAGCCATACTTATATCAGACAAACTGGATTTTAAACTAAAGGCTATGACAAGAGATGAAGAAGTGCATTATATCATAATTATGAGATGTATCCATTAAGAAGAGCTAACAATTATAAATGTCCATGCATTGAATTCGGGAGCACCCAAATATATAAAATAATTAGTTACAAGCATAAGCAATCTTATTGGTAAGAATGTGGTAATTGTAGAGGACCTCAATGGGGAAAAACTGAGAGCTTTCCCCCTGAGATCAGGAACACGACAGGGATGTCCACTCTCACCACTGTTGTTTAACGTAGTGTTGGAAGTCCTAACATCAGCAATCAGATAACAACAAAAAATAAAGGCATCAAAACTGGCAAAGACGTCAAACTTTCACTTTCAGAAAAGGACACGATGCTCTACATGGAAAACCCAAAAGACTCCACCAAAAGACTCCTAGAACTGATACATAAATTCAGCAAAGTTGTAGGATACAAAATCAATGTACAGAAATCAATTGCATTTTTATACACCAATAATGAAGCAACAGAAAGAGAAATAAAGAAACTGATCCCATTTACAATTGCACCAAGAACCATAAAGTACCCAGGAATAAACCTAACCAAAGATGTAAAGGATCTGTATGCTGAAAACTATAGAAAGCTTATGAAGGAAATTGAAGAAGACACAAAGAAATGGAAAAACATTCCATGCTCATAAATTGGAAGAATAAATATTGTTAAAATGTCAATACAATTCAAAGCAATCTATTCAATTGCAATTGATTCCATGCAATCCCAATCAGAATTGCACCAATATACTTCTCAAAGCTAGAACGAACAATCTTACAATTTGTTTGGAACCACAAAAGAACCCCAAATAACCAAAGTAATATTGAAGAAGAAAACCAAAGTGGGAGGCATCACAATCCCCGACTTTAGCCTTTACTACAAAGCTTTAATCATCAAGACAGTATGGTATTGGCACAAAAACAGACAATGGAATAGAATAGAGAACCCAGAATTGGACCCACAATGTATGACCAACTAATCTTTGACAAAGCAGGAAAAAATATCCAATGGAAAAAATACAGTCTCTT